ATCCAAACCGGAAACCTGGACGATAAATCCTACTTGTCACCGGTAGACATAGACACTGGAAGCGCGGATTCCAGAATTTGATCGTGGTGACCCTAAGTAGTGGTTTGCTCAACCGAAGCACTATTTCACTAGGAATGACATTAAACCTGAGGGCGTTCGCCCCCGAGTTTCGTGCTCTTTCGTCTCTTCTTTGGTCATCGAAGAAGTCAAAGACTTAATTTTGAATCGACTAACATGACAACCGTACGTCACATTAAGACGAGAGATAATTAACTATCAGTCTTTATCAAACGGCCAAAGAGACAAAAGCCTTTTCCAAAGTGAAACATTGGGTGATGGGTCACCATCACAGTTTTACGTCACCTTCAAGTTTAGGTGAGCAATACAGTGGATTAAGCAGTCCCAAAAAAATGATGGACAAAAGCTCTTCTGTGCTACGTCCAAATCTGTTTGGATGTACATGACCCGAACACCACTTCACCTCGCTTAGCGCGTATCGCAGATAGAATTATGGAAATAGGTCTCCCAAATGGATCACGCACGATACAACATGCACAAGAAGAACCGTCAAAGTATCTGTGCAACTCATAAGTCTGTAAAAGTGCTAAAAGTATCATAGAGGCAGTCGCAATAATGCAAAGTGATCATAGTTACAGTAACAGGTCAACAAAACTACCGTGATCTCTTTCACAGACTAGGTCACGAACGTCGAAACAATGTAGAAAGTTCTGCTTGTGAGCTTTAATGTTCTTTGCTTGCTTGTTTGCTTCTGTGTATTCAGCTTGTGCCTTGACTTTCTCTGCTCTTGTCTGGCTGTTGTTAATCGCTGTCTTTTTGTTCATCCCATCTTGATTCTTGTCTAGAGTCTCTATTCATAATGATGATGCTTCCTGTGACCCAGAAACTTCTGACACGTTGAAGTCAGTGCTTTTTTGACCCATTACCAGTTGTTATCCATAGTAGTTCCTTCTTCCTTCGGTATATCCTGTAAGGCTTGGAACCTATTTTTGAGAGCTATATCGAATTCGTTGATTTTATCTGTATCTCGAAGGAAAGCTGTAGTGAACTATTGTAATGATGTTTTCGCAGTTGTATAGTGATTCTATGGTTTCAGGTTTATTCTGGCAACAACCTGGTGATGGTCTGAAGGTTTGTCAACCTTTTCCCGGTTCTCACGTCTCCCATAGACCTGATTATTTTACCGGTGCAAATATGATTTATCTGATTTCCTTCAGTGAGATCCGGTAAAACATGTGTAGCTTTGTGTATATGATGCGAGGGAATATTGTACCGCTTTCGTGCCTATAGGTAACCCTCGTGTTATTGATAGAAGAAGCCAGACAAAAATTGAATTAGTCTTTATTTCGATCTTAGCGCAGTCACAGTAGAGCGTGGGATTATCTGTTCAGACAAACAAAAGCTTTCAACATTCAATATAAGATAATAAGGAATATAACGCTTATACAAAATAAGGAAGTGAATGAATACTTGAACAATACTGTTTTGACATATGCTTGGTTGTTTGGGGTCAACTCTTAACCAACCAACCTATGCTGTTACATTAGCTTCCCCCTAGAATCGACTTCCGTAGGAACGTCGGTTCGATTAACCTATCTTTCAAAAACACCTTAGTTCTATTTCTCATCTCAAGGGAAAATTATCAACTCGCTCAATGTTTGACTTACATTCAGTGGCAACTAACGCTGTCAACGGTAGTCTATGGATGTCTCTTCATTTACTAGCTTGTCATCTTATTTTGTAGCATGTGATTTCTTCTACAACTATCGCTGACGGTTTGCTGCGTGCTTTCATGAGAAAGAGTGTGAGACTGTGGAATAAGAATATCTGAGGAAGTGCCGCGTCGGGCTCACCAGTTTCGTGCCTATAGGTAACCCTCGTGTTATTGATAGAAGAAGCCAGACAAAAATTGAATTAGTCTTTATTTCGATCTTAGCGCAGTCACAGTGGAGCGTGGGATTATCTGTTCAGACAAACAAAAGCTTTCAACATTCAATGTAAGATAATAAGGAATATAACGCTTATACAAAATAAGGAAGTGAATGAATACTTGAACAATACTGTTTTGACATATGCTTGGTTGTTTGGGGTCAACTCTTAACCAACCAACCTATGCTGTTACACCGCCTATAACCAATTTGTTGAATGCACATATATTCGCCGATCTATCATCACCCTCGTCCCTCATACCCAATAAGTCCATGTCATTCCACGATAACTCCACACCCCATGTTGTCCATTCCGACTGTGGTGTTTCAGTCTTCCATCAGGATTCTCAAGTTTTTTCCTGGGCACTCCGCTATGATCGGTTCCATCCTTTCGTAAAAATGATCTTTATCGTCTACATAGCTGCGATTGGAAGGTGCATAATATTGGATAACATTCATTATTATTCACTCCTTTGTTTTGATGATGCTTTTACGATTCTGGGTCTATGAGACTCTCATCTTATAACTGCATTTCGTGCTTCTTTGAACAGAATCAAAGGAATTCAACGAGTGTGCGGAACATTTTCTCCTTCAAACCAGAGTACAGCAACATCTATCCTAGATCTCACCTTCTCTGTCTAGCTTCGGTCTAATAGATTCCACTGGTTTTCAGAACCACCAAGTTGTATCTCTTTATTTCCAATGCTAAATGACTAGTCCTTCCGCTCTCCCAAATTATCCATGTACTTATAATATTGTTGCTTCGGTTGTTAAAAGATGCATAGGCCTCGCGGCTTTAGCAGAATCTCAACTTCCACCATGAGGTGTCAGAATACTACTGAAAGATCATTCCACTAGAAGGGCAAAGTTTAAATGTGTCAATTTTTTTTATCTTGGTTAGCGGTATTTTAGCAATGTTTTATCTGTAAGATAGGTTTACTGACCTGACGCCTTACCCTCCTTTTTTGGGACCGACAGTAACCACAGAAGAGCTACAGGTAGTTCTTCGTTTAAAGTGTACAACAAAAAATTGGACTAGACACAAAATGTGTGTATGTAACTAGAGAGTCTACGGAACTATTCATCTTAAGTCAGGGTTATATAAGAATTCGTGGCTAGATGTCTTTCATTGACGGTTTAGAAATGCGATATGTCCTGTGAAAGGTACAGCTGTGTTATTGAATATATGTGTAGGTGCCCTTAAGCATTTTTTTTTACAAGTCTACTTGAAATTACTACTTGTTGTATATTTTTATTTGCTAGATGGTTTCACAAGTACTTACAAATATGACAGTGAATTGTCGATTCACTTCAAGTTGTCACGTAAGCTTTCGTAACTCATGTACAGTTCATGTGTTGCTGCATGCATTTCGCCAACAAAGTATGATCCCCAGGTTTATTACATTAGGAATGTCATTGTTAACTCATATCAATGAAACTGTATTGGTAGTACTTTTACACTTATTACATAGAAAACCAACATTTAAGTGTTTATAGTTACGGGTTTAGGGAATGTCTTCCAGGAATCGACTTATTAGCTCAGAGTGAAACGATTTCGCAACCCCAGTCTGTTTTATATATAATTGTATGCGATAGCAATCAGCTTTATGCCCAAAACAGTTCGTAATTAGGTTTTCGACTGCGTGACGTTTGAGAAGTGACATGAGATCAACTGACAATAAAAGGCAAATCAGTTTATGTATAATGAGAATTCTGAGGATCTTTCAACAGTCTATAAGACAATTGTAAACGTCGAGGAATTCGTCGGATATCCCTAAATTATCAGAATGCTTGAATACCTACCGATAAAATTCAGTGTAATAATTGAGAGGAACCCTAGGTCAATGGAAACATGTGTGGTCTTAGTCGCGTTTTTACGGAAATTCCCTCAAAAATGTTCAAATGGTTCATATGGTTCATATGGTTGTGGACGGAACAGAAGAAGCTTTCGCTTAACAGGCTTCCGTGTCTAGTAGCAGGGGATCACCAAATCCTCCAGGCATGAACCTAGGTATGTTAACAATAAAAGAGGAAAAGAAATTGGTAAATCATAGTGTGATACTGTCCTTGGTCTTTAAGAATAGGTCAAGTTGCCTCTTGAAGGACTCCTGAGAAGTCGCTTGGACTAGCTCGGCCGGCAGCGAATTCCAGCTTTTGACAACTCTTAAGGAGTAGAAGTTGTGTCTACATCCCGTCTTGCTATGTTGAGTTTCCAGTTTCTGGGTGTTACCCCTTAGGTTAGTATTCGAACTAAGCTTGAGTAGGTGTTTAAGAGGATGTCCAGAAGTGTTACGAATACTATAAGCCATTAATAAATCACCTCTAAGACGCCTATACTCTAATGGGTAAAGGTCTAGCGAATGGAGGCGTTTTTCGTAAGGCTTAGATTTGAGTCCGCGAACTGATTTCGTGGCTCGCCGTTGGATACGCTCCAAAGTGACCTTGTCCTTTTGGAGTGATGGAGGGAGTACTATATTTCCGTACTCTAAATGTGGACGGATAAAACTATTGAAGATTGTATGGAAAGTTTTTCCGTCAAACTGGCCAAAAATGCGCTTCAATGTTACCAGTGCAAGGTTTGCTCGGAAGGCATTTTTGTCACAATTAGCGTAAGACTTTAAGTCATGGGGCACCAGGACTCCTAAATCTTTTTCGACTTGAGATACTACTAGAGAGGAATTTCTTAAGTTATAACTGTGGTCTGCGACATGTCGCAGATGGACTACTTTACACTTTGAAGTGTTAAAGGTAAGTCCGTTATCATCTGCCCAACTTTGAAGTCGAGTCAGATCCTCCTGAATTGCCTGAGGTAACTCGAATTAACAAAAAGCTATCCCCAAATTCATGAGGTCGATACAATTTGACCATGCTGGTTATTTGTAAAATCTTAGATTATTACATAAACACCAGAACTGTAGTATTTCCAACTTCCCTAGTCTACGTTAGAAATTGACTTACTAACACTACGCGGATCATTTAATAGTTTTGCTCTAGTGCTAAAAGCTAGCTACATTATCCTTATACTTGGAAGAATCAAAGATTTTGTTAAAGCTTATGGTAAATGTTTGTCATTATATTTTGTTTGTTCAACCTTTGTAGATGTGTAAAGCCTAGCTATATGGTATATACCATATAGTTAGATATATAGATATGCTAGGTGCACCTAGCATATATATCATCCACGTTCTTCTAAATAATAATTGCAGGATGAGATTCCTTTCATGAATACGATGGTTAACTGATAGTCTATCTGTAAGGTTGGGCGCTGCATGCTTTTGGTCGTCGCGCCTTATTACTTGAGATGCTATTTTATTATATACATGGCTAAAGATCATACGTGTCGACGATAGGGTTCTAAAACCTTTGGCGGCTACCGCACAGCAGTGTTCAGTAGTTCTCAGGTCTTGGCTAACGATGTCTTGATTGAAATTACAAGATGCTTTTCACCTAAATTCGAAGTGTTACTTTAAAACTGGTCTGCGTTAATGGCTAATTTAATGGTAGCGAGTGATGTGATTGAGTGTGTTAACTATTTCAACAATTTCGGTAGTGAGATGAATGTGAATGCACGCCATCAACTTACCCCACTTTTTGACTGTGTGAGGGTATATATGACATACATCTGTTTTGTATGATGCATATTTGAATGTCGAGATCATATGCAGATTACAAGTATTCGATCCTATGTACACCATTCATTGTTTATTTATGGTAGAATCACTGATTTAGTAACATTAATGTTAGGTAGAGTGGTAGTTTGGATTCGTATATAAGTTGATACATGTTGAAACTTCATCGACTAAAGTGTTTTGATATGTTATTCTGCGTGCATCCGCCTTCTGTGATTGCTAGCATATGATACCGTTAAAAGGCTAAAGGAATATAGATAATTGTGTAACACAGTTAATAAGACCACTGACTTTGTCCATTAATTCATATAACTAAGGTCTTGTATTTAGTGATAAGTGATTAAGGATCATAGGTAACATTTATTTGTTTGAACACTTAAGCAATGGTACAAGGGGGTACCAAATACATATGCCCCATACAATAGAAATGAGGTCAGTAGTAGTTATTATTCATTTGTGTGAGGGCTGTAATATTGCCCGAGTACCGAAACCGAAGAAAGTGGTTTTCTTAGGTGGTCACACCCCGAGCCTTTGGACAAAAGGTCTAATCCACAAGACAGTGGCGCAACGCTAGGAGTGCAGTCCTATGGTGGTCGGTGACCAACAATAGGTTCATACGTCATTTGTTGCCTTAGGATACTGGAGCCCATGCGCACCATTTGTTCGAAACTAGGGTTTTCCAATTCTCCTAGATGGACTTTTTATATCCATCAACCCGGTTAAAGCGTCGGACTTTCGCTTTTTGTCATCTTAATTTCGTAAACAACAATAGTGCCACGAGAAGGCAGTGAGTATGACTTCCCTGATAGTGGGTGTATACGCGTGACTATGCGAGAGCATTTCGAGAGGGAGAGCTGACTCTCCCCTCCACGGCTGTACCAGTACACTTGGAGGCCGTAGGTAACAACAAGTCACTTGCGTTCAGTCCATATACTTCACTGAAACTTCAGTCAGTCAGTCAGTCAGCTACAACGTAGGACCAGGCACATATGTGCATCGGTCCAGGTTGCCATACCGCATCAACACAACAAGATGAACACCGGATTCATAACAGTGGTTAGGTGAAAGGTGGTAATATATAAGAGAAAGATTGCATATAGAGATATAGTACAAGCAGAAAGAATTGGTTCGTAGAAAGATATGAAGCGATTTTAATCTCATAGTTTAAGGGAAGACAGGGAGTGTATACACCGACGCCATTGTGATCGATTCTGAGCCATGTCACCAAGAGTCTCCAACCATTGGTTACCATAGTCACGCGGACCCCAACCAAGTAGTCTGCATCTACCAACATGGCTCAGACTAGAAGTTAGTGACTTCAAGCACTGATGCCACGTTTTGGTTTGGCCGCCCCTAACTTTCTTCCAACCATTTCCAATACCGGATAGCATTGCACGTCGTGGTAATCGGTGTTCAGGCATACGTAACACGTGGCCCAACCATCTCAGTCGATGAAGATTCATAACCTCATCAACTGATTTACCATCCTTTCCTAATACCCTGCGTCTAACCTCACTATTACTTACCCGGTTATCCCAGCAGACGCCAGCAATATTTCTTAGGCATCTGTGGTCAAATACTAATAGCTTACGAGTGTCTTCTACTCTTAATGGCCATGTTTCGCTGCCGTAAATTAAAACAGAACGGACTGCCGCGCAGTATACTCGTCCTTTTATTGATAGACGGATATCTCGCCTTCGCCACAGGTGACGTAAGTTGGCAAAAGCCAAACGAGCTTTTCGAATCCGTGCTGAGATTTCGTCCGATACCAACCCATTAGGGCTGATCAGACTTCCAAGATAAGTGAAGTTGTCAACGCGTTCGACTACTTCACTCCCTATCCTTAGTTCAGGTGTTGACGCAGACCAGTCCTGAAGCAACAACTTGCATTTAGAGGGATAGAAGCGCATTCCAAACATCCTGGCGTTGTTGCTCAGTGCTACCAGAAGATTCTGCATTTTGTCAGCGTCTTCACCAAACAGGACTTTGTCATCTGCGTATTCTAAGTCGATAAGTGGACCTCCTGGAAGGAGATCAATACCCGAGAACTCAGTCGACGAGAAAGTTATTTCCATCAGTAGATCTATGATGAAGTTAAACAAAAATGGAGAAAGTGGATAACCTTGAATGACACCACTTGAGGTTGCGAAAGAAGATGACAGTTCGCCATAAGCTCTGACTCGACTGTTAGTGTTCGAGTAAAGAGCCTTCACAAGGTTTATGTACTTCTGTGGTACACTTTTCAATGACAGACACTGCCACAGAATCTCGCGGTCTACCGAGACAGATTCTGCTTTTAAGTCAAGAAAGACCACCATTGTTGCACACCTATAAGTATGCCTGTGTTCTAGAACCTGATGAATGGTGAATATGTGGTCGATGCAGCCACGACCAGGTCTGAAGCCAGCTTGATTCTCTCGTGTTTGCAGTTCACGAGCCTTAGTTAGGCGTCTGATAATTATCGAGGCTAGTATTTTAGATACTATATTAGTTAAACTAATCCCTCTACGGTTGTCACAGGATGATTTTAACCCTCTCTTATGTATTGAGACGATAAGTGATTGTGACCAGTCAGATGGAATAATATCTAACTCCCAGATCTTAGCTAAAATATTAGTCAACCTAACCGCTAAAATTGGACCACCATCCTTAAAAACCTCTGGAGTCAATCCATCTGGACCAGCTGCCCTTCCTCGTTTCATATTAACTATAGCCTTTTGAACTTCTGCTAGAGTTGGGGGACCTACTTCAATGTTCCATTCACACTGTCTGGGAATGGAGGGTAGTTGTAGAGTAGCTGAAGGCCAGCTGAACTGTTCTCTGAAATGTTCAGCCCATCGTTCTAAACGCCTGGACTGGGAGCAGATGAGTGCATCGTCTTTTTCTGATATAATCTCACTTACACTTGACTTATTAATTCCAGTTTCTTTTATTAGTCTGTAAAGCTGTCTTGTGTTCCCTATAGTCGCCGCCTTTTCCATCTCTTTTGCTTTCGTTGCCCACCACTGCTCACGGTCGTTTCTTAGACTTTTTCTTAACCTAGATCTGATTTTTCGTCGCTCTTCATCATGTTCGGAACCTGATGGGACGAATTTGCGAGAATCCATCAGTGTGATAGACCTTGATGAAATCCACGGGTTCTTTGTAACCGCGTGGTTTAAATCACTGAGAGATGACACTGCTGTTTCCACAGCTGTTTGTATAGCTTTCCAAGCAACATCTGGGTCAGCCTCGTTTTCAGAACTACCTAAGTGTGACCTCAGTTGTTCCTGGAACCTACTTCTGGTTTTCTCGCTACTCAATTCAGTTCTAATGGGTCTTTTTAATGTGGCTTTTTTGCGTCCGGTGAGGCGCAAGCAGATGCGTGCCCGTATTAGGGCGTGGTCAGAGTCCAAGCAGGTACTCCAGAATGAGCGACAATCTTCTACCGACCCTCTCCAACGATGACTGATGGCAATATGGTCTATTTGAGTCCATCGTTGGTTTGGTGTAGGGGGGTCGCCATGTTAGACGATGTCTCTCCTTATGCTTAAAATTTGTGTTTGCTAAAAATAAGCGATTGTCTGAGCACAGTTGCAGCAGACGATCACCATTATCTGTTCGTTGTGCCGGAATGCTAAAATATCCACCTAAATACCTTTCTGTTTGGTTTAAGCTACCTATCTGAGCATTAAAGTCACCCCCTACGAGTACTATGTCTGAGCGTTTAGCTTTCTGAAGAAGTTCAGAAAGCTTTCTGTAAAATTCATCCTTCACTTCATCTGAGCTGCAGTCAGTGGGAGCGTAGGCAGAAACGACAAAAAGGCAACGACGTGTGTCCCTATCCTTCCGAGTTCTTACGGAGCCGTTTAGCCGAACAGCACATAGACGACTGTTGATGGGGATCCACCCTAGCAGTGCTTGTTCCGCCCTCATGCGTAGTGCTATGCCTACACCTGCCAGTCCACGAGAACTGGCCATCGGGTCACCAGATACACGCAGGGTGTATCTCGTTGGCTCTCCGTTTTGCCGAGGTGAGGTCAAGTGAATGATCACACTGGAATCCTGTATGCGTGTTTCGGAGACACAGCATACATCGATGGAAAGAGACTCTAGGGTTTTAGCTAAGGAATCCTGCTGACCGATTTGACATAGAGTGCGTACGTTGAAAGCTCCAATGTGTAGTTTGGAGCGAGGTTTCAGTAGACCTGGGACAGAGTTTTGAGCACTAGAATCGTTGGCTATGGTGACACTTGAGGAAGAAGCCGAAGGAGGAAGTTTAGGGTTGAAAGTCGATGTAGAAGGAATAATAGGAATTGAAGAGGAAGGTTGATTATGAGTACAGTGGTCTTGGGTGCTGTTAGAGGTATGAGGGCGGTTATCACTTCCCGGTTGCCCACACCGTGGAAGGGTTCTTCTGGAGATACCTGAAAAGGAAATTGGATTAGAGGCGGTCTCAGCGACCTGAGAGCGTGACCGCAGTGCCCAAGGGACAACTGCTTGAGGCCGGTCGAGCACGGCCTTTTTGTGGAAGGTTTTTGACGTGTTAGCTCCGTTCTTCAAAGAGCCTTACCGCCGGAGACGGAAATCCGTGAGGTAAGGTGAGGTGTGCATTTTTAGGGTCGACCTTTTCTAACCCCACCCCTCCTTGTGGTAAGGCAGCATCGCTGTCATGCTGGTTGTCTGAAGGAAACACCTTACTGCTGTCACACCTCTGTACAGTCAGCAGTACGACTTCGCCTTCGGACCTTAGGTTTGTTGCTTTTAGTCTTACCGCTCTTCAACCGACCTGTCTGATATGGTAGGACCTTGATGAACGGTTGTTCCAGCCAGTATAGCTCGGTTGCTTCATCACGATAGGCAAGCCCGACCACCACGTCAAGGTAGCAACAACGGTCAGGCACTGAAACTTTGCATTTTGTCATTGTGCACTTCGTTAATCTATTTGGACCTAAGTTATATTCAACCAATGAAAAGCTTTATGTTGCTGCCTGACCAGCATAAACCCCTGGACACAATGCAGTATGATAGTAGCTGTCCCGCTGAAATAAAACATTTTCGGCCGCACCTAGCATGGATTAACAAAAGACAACGAAGATCTATCACATCCTTTGTTCCACAAAACATGGTTCATTTGGATGTTCTGCTTCAAATTCATCCTTTGACGTGTTTTACTTTTGTATAATAAACCAGCGTGACTGAGTGATACCATTGTGTTCACAAACAGTTTATTGATTATTCCACCAATTAGTTATGTGACTAAATACTTAATAACAGTAGTTTGATTACTTTACTGTGCTTTGTTTAGTTGTTTTTCTTTTCCATTGTTTTAGAACAAGCTTCAATACTCTTGTTTTATACCGATGTGTAAATCAACCAAACTGATTCTCTAAAACTACTTATTTGGTTTAAACCTACAACAAAAATGTTGTATTTTGAGGATTTCATGGAAGGTAAATCTAAATTTCTTAAGTGATATCTACAGCAATTGAAAATATGCCATCTGAGCTGAATGAAAGCCTTACAAATGTTCGACAGCTAGACCTACAAGCTCAAAGTAACTTTACAAAAGACATAATATTCAATTTTCAAGATATTTTAGATTCGCTATCAGAAACCATACAGACGTTTTTCGAAAACTGCAGGTTTGGTAGACTCTTAGAATATGAGAAAAGTACTCAGATTCTTAATATTACTCGGGTAACGTGTGGTATGTTATCACGAATCTCAACAGGAATATGAGCGAGCACTTGTTCATTGCAAGGATAAACGGGAAATAGTGGAAAATATATATAGCACAGTATGATAATTCGTTATAATTCCTATTTCAAAGTACCGTAAATTAGTGAGAAAATTGGATATTGAGTTGGAAAAGTTCCGAATGGAATTAGAGGCCGATAATTCAGGAATAACAGAACAAATAGAAAAAAGTAGGTTATTTTATTAAGAACATTGCACTTAAGGAGTTCAGAATGCACTGGGGAAAGCGATAACAACAAATTCGAAGGCAGAACGTTGGTTATTTCTTAGTTAACATACGCTTTTAGGTAGAAGACAAAGACTGCGATTTCAGCAATCTAGTCATTGCAAAAATAACTTCTCAGTGAGAAGACGATTGGTTGGGCCGGCTTTCAGAGCAGCACTTAAATCTGCTTGCATGAGACCCATGCAATCGGGGGGAGTGCCGTCTCTGGAAAATACTAAGTTCTCACTAAATGGTGACCAAACGTCTTTTAATAACTCCGGTTTAATCTCAACTTCTGGATGTCATGTTCAAGAAACAGGATCCTACAGAAAGAACCCTGTTCATACGGATGGCTTAAGTCCTCTTAGATCAATTGACGAAAGTAAGTTTACATTTTTCAATATACCCGCACTTCATTCAGCAATAAAACAAGTTGATATTGTGTCCTATAAAGCAGCGTTCAGTGTCTTTTCTTGTGCACATGTATTTGAATTATATACTTACTGTTACTTTAGATAGAATGGATATCCAGCATCATGAAAACTCAATATTTACTGGCTACGTATGTTTGTGATATTTATGCGTAATTTTTCTTGGTTTGGATAGTATATTTAGCGCTTTTCATCAAAGTTCTCATCTGTCAAATAATACCACAGAGCACCGGGTTATATTTATACTGTTGCCTGTGTTCGCAGCTGAAATAATTCGGCTCAGCTGTACGTGGTATTATTAGTTATATAGAACTTAGTATATAATGAATGTATGTTAGTCTCATGATGACACCATCTAGACACTTGTTTAAGGACGTGTTTTCGGAGAGTCAGTAAATTATCATTGCACCAGTCTTTGATGATCTTTGTGCCGTGCGAATCTAAGTGGTTCCCGTCTCAAAGTCTAAGCAGTAGAATTCCACTGGTTCCTGGTTGTCAAGTAAGATCAGTAAAATTGTAAATCCAGCAGAGTCGATAAATACATAAGAGCGATGTTACGTCAGACCTCTGTAGTTAATCCATCTGCTCCTCCTCGTTTCAGATTACTTTAGCTTTTTGAACTTCAATCAATGTCGAGTGGGGGGCCTGTCTCAATGTTTATTCAGACTGTTTGGAAATTTTGGTAGTTGAAGGTCAGCTAAACTGCTCCTTGAAGTGTTCCGCCCATCGTCCCAAACGTTTAGACTGGGAACAGATAAGAGTGCCATCTTTTTCTGAGATTGTTTCACAATTGAATTCAGAATTCTGGTTTCCTTTATTAATCTGAAAAGCTGTCTTCTGTTACAGCCACAGTTTTCCCCATCTGTTTTGCTTTCGTTGCCCATCACTGCACACGATCGTTCCTTAGACTTTTGGCTAGCCTACATCTGACTTGTTTTTGCTCGTCATCTTGTTCGGAGCATGATGGGATAAGTTTACGATAGTCTATCAGTGCAATAGATGTGGCGACCCCTTAATATAAATCACTAATAGATATGGCCGATGTTCCCACTACTGTTCGTATATCTTTCCAAGGAACATCTGGGTCAGCCTCGTTTTCGAATATGGCCTTAGTGTGACTTCAGTTGTTCCTGGAATTTATCTTTGGCTTTATCATCGCTGAGTCCAACTTCAATGGGTCTTCTTGATATGGTTTTTTGTGTCCAGTGAGGCACAAGCAAATGAGTGCTCGTACTAAAGCATGATCAGAGTCAAAACACTTACTCCAGAACGATCGGCAGTCTTCTATCGAGCCTCTCCAATGACGAATAATGGTCCATCTGTAGTTTAGTGCGGGCGGTCTCCGTGTTAGACGATATCTTTCTTTGTGCTTAAAATTAGTGCTTGCTAAAAGTAAACGATTGTCTGAGCACAGTTGCAGCAGTCGGTCACCATTACCAGTTCGTTGAGTCGAAATACCAAGGGACAACTGCTTGAGGCTGGTCACACACGGCTTTTTTCCCGGGTAATTTTTGTGTTAGCTCCGTACTTGTTGAGACCTTACAATCGGGGATGGAAACCCGTGGGAGAGAGGTGTGCGTTTTCAGTGTCGACCTTTTCAACCCCACCCTTCATTTATACGAAGGCAGCACCGCTGTTATGCTGGTTTTATGAAACACATTTTACCGCCGTCACACATCTGTACAGTCAACAGTATGACTTCGCCCTCGGATCTTGGGTTTGTTGCTTTTAGTCTTACCGTTCTTCAACCAACCTATCTGGCATCCTGAGGAACGACTGTTCCAGTCAGTATAGCCCGATTGGTTTATCACAATAGGCTTGCTCGATCACCACGTCAAGGTAGCTACACTTGTTTCACAGCTATAGAGTGATATATAGCTCATTGGCGTGCAGTATACTTTTACTTTAGCTTCTAGACATATCTCTCTTGAGCAGCAAGTGACGCGAGTATGCAAAATCTAACCAGGGTTGCATCAACGGTCGAGCAACAAAAGTTACTTTGTAGTGAATAAACTTATCGGTATTAGACCATTGAAAATCTAAAAGCACTGAACGGAGATCCCGTTCTAGTATAGGTTCAAGCTTCATGCATCCACGACTCCGCACTTTGACTCAAACTCAGGACTTTTGGTTTCGCGCGCAAGCACATGATGGTTGTCAGTGTATGGGTTCTAGGTAGTTTAAGGCTGATTAGTTCATAATATGAATGAAGCTCAACAATCTCCATAAGCCTATGCTGACTGGCTATAAAGCGGATATTTATGAAATTAAGTTTGTAGGAATTTATTTTACAAATATCTTCACAAAAGAGAACAAATATTTGTTAATAACCATGAATAAAACATGAATCCTAAAATGCTAAAAGTACATATATTTTTCAAAGTTTTCTATGCCATACGTTGATATATCGAAAACCAATATTTAAGTGGAAAATCCTTGTCACATTCCACTTCACTTTCTTGAAAATATTTTTGTAGATTCAATATGTTTGGACCATCAGTCTAGTGATAGTTCCTACGACAGGACCTTTGAAACGTAAGTTCAAATTTCCTTTGAATAATTTAAAATGCATGAATTGCACGGGAAAACCCCCTTGTCATGTGTTGTTCATTTTTAGTATGGAAATCCTCGCTTTATTATGCCTGATTACGATCATATACACCTTTCACTGTTTTCAGTTAGTGTTATTAGTGATCAGAATACGATTGCATAATCTATCACCAACGGTTTCAGCACGATATTAACTTTCACCTAATGACAACTTCCTAGTGAAGCAGTAAAATGTGTACAGTTGTGACCATCATCAAGAACCTACAGTTCCCTTAAATTTATTGAAAATACCCGGGATATCTTTTGAGAATGACTTTTTACATGATTTAATGAGAATTAGCCTCTTGGATTAGGACTCCAGCAATTACCGGTAGTTATGCATACTAGCTCCCATGTTTGTTATCACTTTAAATTAAATAAACTTCCTAAGGATCAAAGTTTCTATTTCTAAATACTACGTTTCCAGGCTTTACTAGTTTTTCTTTTAAGTCATGTTATAATTCGGCGAGTATTAACATCATTTGAAAAGGTAAGGTACTATTGTAGTGAAGGAGAACACAGTTGAGGACAATCGAATTATATTTACAACAACATTACAGAGTTACTTGGTAAAATAGAAAAACTATACTATAATACTAATTTGCAAAATATTCAATAATTGTCTCGGAGTTGATTGTTTCTGCATTTCTATTCCCGTTCTTTCTTTCTTGATCTTCCCAATCTTCTGCTGCCAGACATTACATTCCTGACTCGCGTTACATACTACTTATGTCATTATAAGTAGCACGCACCACATTATGTACAAAATACCACGTTAAGAAACCCAGTGACACAACTGGATCTAAATGGCATGTATTAGGACTTTGGAGTATTCACTTATCTTAAACAATTATTTAAGTGATCTGCTTTAGGTCGGTTTGTGTTATAGACGTTAATCGTCAGTGATTAGAACCCATAAATGATAACTCAAAACTATTCACAAGTAATTGTTAATAACTGCAACAAAAATACACATTTTCACTGCACTTAGTATATTAGATCGATTTACACTGGAGAAAGGAACCAGATGTTTTTTTAACCAGGTATGATGTTACAAAAAACCCATGTAATGTCATAAAATGCTTGCATGGTAATCTTTTGTTTTGGGTTTTACAGGATTAATTCACAAACTGGAGGAGTTACAAAGTTCGAAGAGGATACTTCAAACGTTCACAATGCAGGTGCTGGATTTTCCACCATTCTGAAAAACAATTCGAGCTTGCTACCAGATATGTCGCTGGATGCTAAGACTCATACTGGAATGCACGATCGTATTATTAAAAGTACTAACTCTTCCAGTGGTCATTTATTTTACGACACAGCAGAACCTAACTTTACAGATCATGAAAAGCTCAATTTAACACCAAGAGCAGGTTCAATTGAGAACCAAGTGACAGACAATATCAGTTCACCCGGATGGCCCGGTCTAACACAAAGTTTTTCTAGTGTTCGGGAGAAACGCCGATACCCGCGAAGATTTGATAGAATAGGACTAGCATGTGACCTTGCAGTTGATGAGTTCGGAAAGCTTGATGATTCACCTAATTCTAGTGTCAATGCAACGCTGGGGCATGGATTTGACGATCAAACGTATGAATTTAGTGGAAATCCGAAACCTGGAGATACTACCGACCCACCAGATGATGATGAAGATTACAAGCGTTACTGTATATGCCGAGATGTGAGTTATGGTGACATGATAGCATGCGACGCCCCAGACTGCCCCTTCGAATGGTTTCACTACGCTTGCGTGAACCTAACCGTTGCACCAAAAGGTCGGTGGTTTTGTCCTACTTGCGCTAAATCCTTAAATAATAAGAAAAGCATCAAAAAAAGTTCATCTAGGAAATAATGATTGCTTCAGATGTTCAGGGAACGCAAAAGAACCAATAAAGTGCTTGAGAGCAATTCTGATATATTCATGATTTTTAAACTTGTGTATAAGCACATGAAATATAATGTAATACGCTGCGATATTTATAGACAAAATTTAGGGTGAACAAAAAAAGAACAATATTATTTGTATGTACATGGTCACAGTGCCTGACACATCCAAGATGCATAGAAATTCGTTTGTAAACAATGAAATTTACGAAGTCACTCTATACATTGTTCAAGTAGCTTGTTGGAAGCGTAATAAATTTTTATCTTAAGATGATTGCGTCGTTGGCGAATACATGTTTGAAGTCCCAACTACAGAAAAAATAAATGAATAATTAAAACAAAGGATACTTAGTCATTAATCAACATTACCTCAGTACTATTTCTTCAACTTTCGTGCGATATGTAAAGTGTAGAAAACAGCTACATTATGTTTTTTTGTAATATCTCAGCAAACAGTAAGATGAAAGTAAAGGCTCGTGATTTCGCTTAGTTTTCTATGGAACTAGGTACTTACATTTTTTTCTGGATATTTTTTTGGTAATATTTACAACAGCTTTTATGCAGTTGGTTGTATTTCAATTTTCGAGGTCAAAGGCTGCTAAACTGTTTGTAGGGGAAAATACAGTCAATTTACCGTCTATAGATTAAAACCATGCAAAACAATTCTTTTAAATATAACGATTACCAGGTTTCAATGTAAGCTGTTTCATATCTAAACATCGGTATTAAAACACAGACATGATCAGCAAACACTTTAGCACTCAACATTTAGTCACATATCCGAGTCCTGCTATATCTACTTCAATTTGAGCACGCAAAGTTTGGTTCAAAGCCAAGTATATGGGTTTATACTGGGTTATTGAGTCAATCACTTTATCTTGTGAGAATTTTGAATTAGAATTGATGGGATTAAGTGAAGTTACATATATGGGGGAAGTTTTTAACCTGAAATTACGTTATTTCTTTCTTAGAGGCCCATCATCTGACTCCGTTTCTGACGAACAAACCCCGTTGGCGGTAATAAGCCAAAGTACGGATTAGGTAGAATAAATTAGTTTCACGCATTCGTGTACACATACAGACATTAAAAATGAAATGCGAACAAGCGAAGGGGACCGGAAAATACAAACATGTCAACTTAATTTGATAAAGGGTGACTCAATATTAGTAGCCGGGCAAACATAAACTGAAAACGTGATGAATAGGGTAGGCAATACACACTCATACGGTTGTAAGCGCATATTTGACAAGGTCAAAATGTGACGCAAGAAAAATGAATAAATTGGTCTGTTTGAGGGCTGGAATAACCCACATGGGTGTGACAGTACCAGACACTACGCTTTGAATTTTTACGGGAACGATATGTACTTTTTGTAAGCTAGCTTTATATACATGATTCTACGATTGAATTCAATATAAATCTAAGTGCACTGAACGCTCCCAGATAAATTTGTGGCAGATCATTTTATTGCAAATAAGGTGGGACCTGGTACAAATGCACATCAGTTCAAGTTGTTAAATTTAATGTCATAGAAAAGAAATTAACAAAACCAGGTCAAATGTGTCGCAACGTTAGGATTAGTGATGGTAAAAGACAAAACATGGTTCAATATGAAGAATGAAATCTGAAAGACTAAACAAATTTTTAACTCCATATAACCATTATTTGTGAAAGGCAGCGAAAAGTAATAGAATGTGGACAAAACCAGAAAGTCATCTATTAGGATAAAAAACGTTCATCACAGTCTTATTTCAAAAGACCCGCAAGTTGTGCAGCTAGACTCAAATGATCAGTCAGTGACAAAGTGGAACTTCGTACGTACATCAAATCGAATTGCCACACCACATTAGCACAGAGATGCAGTTGTAGATTCAATACCGTAGTGGAAAAGGTAGTAAGAGTATAAGCAGTAATCGGAAAGACTACCGTGTAAAGATGTTATTCAAGGAGTATAATCCAGTTAAGTAAATTCAGAAAGAGATAAAAAGGGATATGAAGAATTCAGGAGATTAGAATTTGGTAGAGCACAAAAGGTGGATGCCCTTAAGCCATCACAAACGATTTTAAGCCATGTCATTCAATGTTTCTAACCATCGGTTACTATCATCTTGCAGTCCCCAACCAGATAGTCTACACCTACCAACATGGCTCAGTCCACTTGTCAGTGACGTCATGGATTTGTGCCATATTTTGGTCTGGCCACTCCTAACTTCCTTCCAACCTACTTGTACACCATTCGTGGCTTCCCATAACGTCCACACATAAATGCAGACAGGAAAACAGATAAGTCTGACTGTCTTTGGGAAGTCAACATTCATTCATGTCGTCTATACGAGGCCCGTATTCTAGACATTAATGGAGTACTACAAATCTCTCCATCTGTTGTTTCGAGAAGCTTGTTTCCCGTGGGATTGTCGGGAACCGTAAAACATCTTTGCCCGAAGTTGATGGAGTTGAATGAACTGGTACTACACCGTAAAAGATCACACGTCGAGGCAGTCGGTCGTTAGGCATATGTATCACGTATCCCAGCCACCTTATCTGATGAAGTTTCACTACTTCGTCAACTGAAGCGGTCGACACGCTCAACTACTTCACTCCCTATCATTAGTTCGGGTGTCGATGCAACCCAATTCTGAAGCAACATTCTGCATTTCGAGGGGGAGAATCGCATCCCGAGCATGCTTGCATCGTTGCTTAGAGTGGTCGGAAGACTGTATTTTGTCAGCGTCTTCATCAAATATGTCATCGGCATATTCTAGGTCAACAGGCGAATCTCCCGGTAGAAGTTCAACCCCTGGAGAGTCAGATAAGGAAAGTGTTATCTCTAAAAGCACATCAACGACAAAGTTAAACAAGAATAGAGAGAGTGGACAGCCCTGACGAACATCACTTAAGGTAATCAATTCTGATGACAGTTCGCCATAAGCTCTCACTCAACTAGTTGTGTTCGAGAAGAGAGCCTTTACAAGGTTAATGTGGTTCTTTGATACTCCTTTCAGTGACAAACACTGCTACAGAACCTCGCGATTGAAAGAGTCAAATGCCGCCTTACGGTCGAGAAATAATACAATTGTGGGGCGTCTGAATATGTGTCTGTGTTCTAGAACCTGACGTAGTGTGAATATCTGGTCTATATAATCACGTCCAGGTCGAAAACCAGCCTGATTTTCTCTAGTCTGTTCTTCACGAGCTTTGGCTAGGCGTTGAAGAATTATTAAAGCTAATATTTTAGACACTATATTATTCAAACTGATTTCTCAGTGATTGTCACAGGAGTTTTTTGTCCTTTTTTATAGACTGGCACAATCAGTGATTGAGACCAGTCAGATGGGATTATGTCCAGTTCCCAAATTCTACCTAAGACCTCAGTTAATCTCACTGCTAATACTGGGCCAGCATCCTTAAAAATATCAGGAGTAAAACTGTCAGGGTCTGCTGCTCTCCCTCCGTTCAGATTTCATATAGCTTTTTCAACTTCGTAGAGTCGGAGAGCCTACATTAACTTGCCATTCAGAGAGACTGGAGATCGTAGGAAACCGAAGTGTGGCTGAAGGCCAGTTGAACTGATCCCTAAAGTGTTCTGTCCATCAATCCAATCTCCTAGATTGAGAATGTATAGTAAGTCCATCTTTTTCTGAGATAGTTTCGCTAACAGTCGGGTTCCTGATACAGGTTTCCTTAACAAGTCTGAACAGTTGTCTGCTGTTACCTATTGCCGCTGCCTTTCCCATCTCTCTTGCTCTCGCTACCAACCACTGTTCGAGATCATTGCGTAGGCTTCTTGTCAGCTTGCGCCTAAGCTGACTCCACTCTTCGTTATGTTCAGAGCCAGATGGAATGAGTTTTGAGCATTTATCAATGCGGTAGATGCTGCTGAGATCCAGTGTTGCTCCCTAACCCTGTGGTTTGCCGTACTTGCAGATATCACTGTTGTTTCCACAGTTTTTCAGATGTCATTCCACGCTGCCTCGGGTTGGGCATCACTTACATGTCTGCCTAACTGCTTTTCTAGTTGTTCCTGAAATATACTCTTAGCTTGACTATCATTAAGTAGACCTCTAAGAGGTTTCCTTGCATCATCTTTCCTACGTCCAGTAAGACGTAGAAAAATACGCGCTCGTACTAGAGCATGATCTGAATCTAAGCATGTGCTCCAGAATGAGCGACAGTCTTCTATCGAGCCCTTCCATCGGTGGCTGATAGCGATGTGACCTATTTGGGTTCAACGTTGGGACGAATTCGGGGGTGGCCATGTCAAAACATGTTTTTCCTTATGCTTAAAGTTAGTATTTGCAAGGAACAGGCGGTTATCTGAGCAAATCTGCAACAAACGGTCACCATTATTTGTTCTTTGAGCCACAACACCGTAAGATCCATCCAGGTGTCTTTCCCTTTCGCTTAATTTACCTACTTGAGCATTAAAGTCACCAGCCACTATTACTACATCAGAGTGCCTAGCTTTTCGGAGAAGGTCGGGAAGCTTTCTGCAAAACTCATCTTTTACATCGTCTGAGCTGCAGTCAGTGGGAGAGTAGGCAGAGACGAAGAAGAGGCAACGACGAGTGTCCCTATATTTCCGAGTCCTTACTGTTCCGTTTAGTTGGACAGCGCACAAACGACTGTCTACTGGGATCCAATCTAAGGGAGCTAGTTCCGTCCTAGGACTCAATGCTATACCTACGCCAGTGAGGCCACGGGAAGCGGCATCAGGGCTTCCAGATACACGAAGCGTAAATCGAGTTGGTTCGTCACTTTGACATGATGTCGAATGAACGACACTACTCGGATCCTGTATGCGCGTTTCGGAGACGCAGCACACATTGATGGCGCGAGATTCTGAGGTCCTAGCTAAGGAAGCCTGTTGTCCTATTTGGCACAGTGTTCGGACGTTGAAAGCTCCTACGTGTAGTTTAGAGCGTGGTTTCAGGAGATCAGGAATAACCTTCCGCGTACTCGAATCGTTTGCCCTAGCGGTGCGAGGTGATAAAGGGACGTGAGAAGGGTTAATTGTGGAGATAAGAGAGTTATTAGGAGGTGTAAGAAGGATTTGAATGTGGCCAACTTGGTCTCGTGTGCTGTTACGGGTATGAGGGCTGATGTCACTTCCCGGTTGCCCACAACGTGGAAGGGTATTTCTTGAGGAATCTGAAAAGTAAGTCAGTATAATGTTGGTCTTAACGACCTTGGAGCGTGACCGCAGAGCCCAAGGGACAACTGCTTGAGGCCGATCGCACACGGTCACTTTGTGGGAGGTTTTTGACGTGTTAGCTCTGTTCTTCAAAGGGCCTTATCACCAGAGACGGAAATCCGTGAGGTGTGACATTTTTAGGGTCGACCTTTTCTAACCCCTTCCTTCCTTGTGAGAAGGCAGTATCGCTGCAGATGCTGGCTGTCCGAGAGAAACACCTTACTGCTATCACACCCCTCTACAGTCAGCAGTACGACTTCGCCCTCAGACCTTGAGTTGCTGCTTTTCGTCTTACCGTTCTCCAATCGACCTGACTGGCATGGTAGAACCTACAGGAACATATATTCCAGGTAATATAGCTCGGTTGAGTCATCACGATAAGCAAGCCCGACAACTGCGTCGAGGTAGCAGCTACGGTCGGGATAGATCTTAATATACTTTCAGCTGACTAACTGGTTCATTTTTTTCTTTTGATTGTATAAAGGATAATTTTTCGTTACTTCAGCTCTCAATTTCAATAAGTTTACAAAGCAATCGATGCCACTTGCTACTTGTATATGTTAATGTTGATGATTGCTTGATAGGCGTTATGAATAGGTTTCGTAAATAGATTTGGTAGGGGATTTTGTGATTGGTTTAAAATAGCTATTTGTAGAAGGCGAGTAGGGTAGAAGTATTAACATCAAGGTTGCGGGACAAGATGACGAGTGACAATTCGAAAATAAAACGGGGTAAAAAGATGAAATTATTCTAGTTAATGTTCATAAAAAATTCGACCATGAACTAAGTAGCAACATTTTATACACTACATATTGTATTGGATTGTGTAAATGAATCAGGGATCTTATCGGATGAAAATTTGAGGTAGTCCAGTGTTGTACTCAAATGTGTTCTCCATTATGAGTTCTAAGGTCTGTTATGCCATCGACTGATCAATCCATGTTATGTTAACTTGTAAGGTGAATCTACGCTACGGTCAATATACTCTAAGCTGACTAACTGGTTCATTTTTTTAAAGTTATTGGGCTACATAAGCATACACCTTAAATCAGACACAGTCTTGTAAGTAGGTATTCAAACATAATAAGGAGGAAGTACGTCTAATGCCCCATGGAGTGTAACAGGTGCAAGTAACGTTTTGTGTTGACAGCTTTGCATGTTGAATCGGAGCCATTAAGTGCTTAAGTTCATATTCTCAGAATTTACAGTTTACTTCCAGGCGGCCATGTTCGCTCCTGTATGACGAAAAGACAACTAAAGTTCTGCTAAATCCTAGTTTACCGAATACATGGAGGTCGATTTTATTTATTCATGGAAACAAATATTATAAATAATGAAGTTAATTAGTTACGCAGATTCATCAAATATATTACTTACCACCATGATCATTTTGTTCGTGGCTTCTTCGTGACTCTGTATCAGGAAAACATTTCAAACATTCATGACAAGCAAACACCTTTGAAGCTGAAAAGTCAAATGTTCAATTAGTACTGTTTCACAAGTAGGGAACTCACTATTATGGACCGTAAGGTTGTGTTCAAGAAGAGCGAACTTTGATGGAAATAGCATATTACACGGGGAACATAGGCTGATTGAATCTATAAAGATTTAGAAAGATAAGATCTGACGTTAGACCTATACACTATTGATTGCGCTTATGTTGCTAACTGAAGTAAGCCTGGATCTTGTTTATAAAAATATGTAAAAAGATGCTAAGTTTCACAAATATTAATGATATTATAGAAAAGCAGACAACACTTTGAGAAGGTAATAAGGATTAAATTACCTGAGTGCACAGTTTTTGTATGACGATTAAAAGCAAATTTGGTTGAAAAACTCCTGTTACACAAAGGGCAGATGCACAATTCCGCACCTAAGTAAAATATTTGAAAATGGTAGAAAGTATTCATCAAGTATTAGAATGCCAAATGCTAAAGGTGTGAAAATACTCACTTTCGTGTATCAGTCTCATATGGCGCTCTAGACCATGTTTGGCAGAAAATTTCTTCCCACAACAAGCACAAGGAAGAACAAGTTCTGATATACCTAAAAAATATTTGGAAATAAAAACGATCTTTAGGGAATTAGAAAATATAAGTGTACTTAACAATTTGTATGAACCGGATATTTTCTAAAACCAAGTAGGTATGTCTCTGCCTTATTACATAAAACATCTGCTTGGGTGCGAGAGATTACATTCACAGTCCTACTTAAGTATTCAAATACACCATGATAAATAATAAGGTTAATTTCTGATGGGGAAGAAGGACGGGCAAATGACGGGTCAGTGTTGGTAAGACTTTCTGTGTATTAATTCAAATTTATCTTATTTTAAAAACTTATTTAATTGAACACATAAATATTGGTACAAATGAGCGCCAATATATATGCGCCACACAAAACAATGAGTATTCGAAGAGAAAGAAAAAAAAAACAGAACAATAACGAAGAGGCTGGTGTAAGGTAGTGTAGTAATAATAATAGTAATAATGAGGGAACGGAAAGGTACAATCAGAAAAAATCTTTCAGTTAAGGGAGACACAACCACTTTTTATGAAGAAAGTAAAGGAAGGTTACAGCAGGATCACCACTGGCTTCTATTCTGAGCCATATTCTGATAACGTCCCTAGCCACTGTGTAGCACCATATCTCGGACCCCAACCAGGGAGTCGTGAAGGACCAACAGAAGCCAGTCCTTTGCAGCTTTCTTTCATACCACGACACCATGTCATGCACTGACTACCTCTCCGCTTCCTCCAACCGGTCCCAGAGTCGGCAAATAATGCACGACGTGGAATTCTCTGGGACGACATTCGTAGGACATGTCCAAGCCACCAAAGCCGGTGTTTCAAGATGGTGACATCGATTGCATTATCATCTCTGTGCCCGAACACACGATGCCGAACCTCTGCATTACTGAGATGGTGTTGCCACTGGATGTGAGCAATCCTTCGGAGACAGTGATGATCGAACACAGAGAGTCTTCTAACGTCCTCAACACGGAGAGGCCAGGTTTCACAAGCATAGAGCAAAACCGCTCTCACTGACGCGTTGTAGATCTGGCCTTTTACAGTCAGACTAACATCACGAAGGCGCCAAAGGTGGCCCAGATTGGCATAAGCCACTCTGGCTTTCACTATACGTGCATTGATCTCATCACTCACACCCCACCAGCACTTATGCAGCTACCTAGATACACGAACTTCTCGACTACTTCTATCTGCTCACCACCCAGGATTAGAATCCTGCCAGTCTTGTATAAGTACTTTGTACTTCGAAGGTGCAAAGCACATACCATACTTACGGACATTGATTGCCAACTGATTAAGTGCGGATTGCATGGCTTGGCCATTATCGCACAGTAAGACAATATCGTCCGCATACTCAAGGTCGAGAAGTCTTTCTCCAGGCAACAGATCCACACCACCATTACTTACATTCATCAGAGCTGTTTCCAGAACGTCATCGATGGCAAAGTTGAAGAGGAATGGTGAGATTGGGCAACCCTGTCTAACCCCACTGCTCGAATGGAACAATGGAGAGAGGTGGTTGTATACTCTCACTCTGCCTGAGGTATTTTTATATAGGGCTTTTAGGATGTTAATAAACTTCTCAGGCACACCCTCCTTCAATAGACAATCCCAGAGAACAATCCTGTCCAACGAATCGAAGGCAGCCCTGATGTCAAGAAACACTACGATTGTTGGCCTTTGATAAGTATGGCGGTGTTCTAACATTTGGCGGAGGGTGAATATATGATCAATACATCCTCGACCAGAACGAAACCCAGCAGGCTCCTCGCGAGTCAATCTTTCTCGGGTTTTGAACAACCTACGAAGTATGACAGAAGCCAATAGCTTGGACGCAATCGGAAGTAGATTTATCCCCCGATAATTGTTATAGGAACGAAGTGAACCCTTTTTAAAGATAGGGACAACTATCGACTCATTCCATGACGTTGGTACAATCTCTAGCTACCAGACCTTTGTAAACAACGTCGTCAATTCCTTAGTCAAAAAGTCACCACCATCTTTAAAAAGAGCCGGAGGTAAGTCATCTGGTCCAGGTGATTTGTAGCGCTACAAGAGTTGGAGTTCCTTGCGGACTTCCGCCTCATTTGGTGGATCAGTCGTCACCGGCCATGGAGGGCAGGACAATCTGACCGATGTTGTCGGAGCAGCAGGCCAGTTGAACTGCCCTTCGAAGAGTTCTGCCCATCGTCCAAGACGTCGATGGATGTTAGTGATTGGCATCCCATCATTCTCGCAGAGTGTTTCACTCACACCAGACTTCTTGCTGCCAGTGGCTCGGATGAGTTGGAAGAGCTTCCGGTAGTTACCAGATGCAGCTGCTGCTTCCAGCTCATTAGCACGCTCCGACCACCAGGCTTCTCGGTCCTTACGCAAGCTCTGCCCAATTTCCTTACGTAACATTCTTCGTTTGTGATCAAACTCACGGTCACGCGGAGTAGACCGACGAGCATCAATGAGTTGTAAGGAACCAGAAGAAACTCAGTGCTTATAAGCGGGACGTTTCGCGAATCCACAACTGACTATATCCGCCATTTTCATGGCGTCATGCAGTTGCAGGTCGGGCGTCTAGGCACAGAAGAGAGTCGTTTAGGTGGCCGATGGGGACTCGTTGGTCGCAGGTCAGATAACGGGGACCGTTCACTGCAACTTTGCACAGACCACAACCTGTTTTTGGCTAGCACTAACTTTCGGCACAGTCATCGCCGATGTGCCACCTGGCGTCTTCCCTCTGCATTTCAAGCCTGGACTCAGATCGATCACATCGCGACCAGCTACCGCTGGCGTGGTTGTGTACAAGACTGCCGCTCCTTTTGGAGTACCTATCTGTACTCTGACCATGCCTTGGTCTGCGCCAATCTTGCCTTACTTTTCAGAGGACAACGAAGTGACCGCCATCAACGGATTGATATTAGCAAGCTGGTTGCAACTTCTGTTGCTAGTAAGTATCGAACCGAGCTAGCCTCTAGGCTAGCTGCCACTCCACCGAAAAGTATAGATAAACATTGGTGGGGTGTGAGTGATGAGATCAATGCACGTATAGTGAAAGCCAGAGCGGCTTATGCCAATCTGGGCCACCTTTGGCGCCTTCGTGATGTTAGTCTGACTGTAAAAGGTCGGACCTACAACGCGTCAGTGAGAGCAGTTTTGCTCTATGCTTGTGGAACCTGGCCTCTCCGAGTTGAGGACGTTAGAAGACTCTCTGTGTTCGGTCATCGCTGTCTCCGAAGGATTGCTCACATCCAGTGGCAACACCATCTCAGTAATGCAGAGGTTCGGCATCGTGTGTTCGGGCACAGAGATGATAATGCAATCGATGTCACCATCTTGAAACACCGGCTTTGGTGGCTTGGACATGTCCTACGAATGTCGTCCCAGAGAATTCCACGTCGTGCATTATTTGCCGACTCTGGGACCGGTTGGAGGAAGCGGAGAGGTAGTCAGTGCATGACATGGTGTCGTGGTATGAAAGAAAGCTGCAAAGGACTGGCTTCTGTTGGTCCTTCACGACTCCCTGGTTGGGGTCCGAGATATGGTGCTACACAGTGGCTAGGGACGTTATCAGAATATGGCTCAGAATAGAAGCCAGTGGTGATCCTGCTGTAACCTTCCTTTACTTTCTTCATAAAAAGTGGTTGTGTCTCCCTTAACTGAAAGATTTTTTCTGATTGTACCTTTCCGTTCCCTCATTATTACTATTATTATTACTACACTACCTTACACCAGCCTCTTCGTTATTGTTCTGTTTTTTTTCTTTCTCTTCGAATACTCATTGTTTTGTGTGGCGCATATATATTGGCGCTCACTTGTACCAATATTTGTGTTCAATTAAATAAATAGGATACTGGCTTTGAAGTTAGCTACAATGGTACAATAATATCAAAAATAATAAAAATCTTTGAATGTGAGCAGTTCGTGCTGAAAGTTAGTATGTCAGATTAAGAACAAACGTAAAAGAAACCCACTTATCAAATTGGTAATAATAACTTTTAAACATCAATCTAGAATTTCGGCTTTATATCATGTCAGCACATGATTTAGAAATAGATGAATTTAGGGTTTTGTATGGTATCCTGTTTAACTCACCTTCATGAACTTTTCGAATATGTCGATGGAGGGCAAATTTTGTGGTAAACTTTCGTCCACATGAATCACATTTACATTCTTCGAGACCTGTGTTTCCAAGCAGTAATGCCAATTGGATTAGTGTTTTAGTAAATGAGCATAAGGAAAAACAAAAATGATTAGCAAAATAAAATAATCTTACGAATTGTGAAGATAAATCTGGATTAGTAGAGTTCGACGGCATATTTCATTTCGATTCTTACTTACCTCAGTCAGTCAGTCAGTAACAACGTAGAACTTAGTACGTACGTACATCAGTTCGAGTTGCCATACCACATTAGCACAGAGATGCAGTGGTCGATTCAAATCCCGTAGTGGTAGAGGTAGCAAGAGTATAAGCAGTAATCGGGAAGATTAGGGTTTGGAGATGTTATTTAACGAGTATAATCCAGTGAAATAAATTTGGAAAGAGGAAAAAAAAAGGGGCATGAAGAATTCAGATAATTAGAATTTGGGAGAACATAGAGAGTGGATGCACCTGCGCCATTGCAAACGATTTTGAGCCATGTCATTCAGGGTCTCTAACCATCGGTTGCTATCATCTCGCGGTCCCCAACCAGGTAGACTACACCTACCAACATGACTCAGTCCACTTGTCAGTGACTTCATGGATTTGTGCCATGTTTTGGTCTGGCCGCCCCTAGCTTTCTTCCAACCTACTCCTATACCACTGAATATAGCACGTCGAGGTAGTCGGTGGTTGGGCATACGTAACACGTAATCATTGCGTAGACTTCTTGTCAGTTCGCGCTTAAGCTGACTCCGCTCTTCACTATGTTCAGAGCCAGGTGGAATGAGTTTCCGAGCATCTATCAGTGCGATAGATGCTGCTGAGATCCAGTGTTGCTCCCTAACCTTCTGGTTTACCTTACTAACAGATATCACTGCTGTTTCCACAGCTTTTCGGATATCATTCCATGCTGCCTCGGGGTGGGCATCACATACATGGCTGCCTAACTGTTTTCCTAGTTGTTCCTGAAATATACTCTTAGCTTGACTATCATTAAGTAGGCCCCTAAGAGGTTTCCTTGCAGCGGTTTTCCTACGTCCAGTAAGACGCAAGCAAATACGCGCTCGTACTAGAGCATGATCTGAATCTAGGCATGTGCTCCAGAATGAGCGACAGTCTTCTATCGAGCCCCTCCATCGGTGGCTGATAGCGATGTGATCTATTTGGGTCCAACGTTGGGACGAATTAGGGGGTCGCCATGTTAAAAGATGTTTTTCCTTATGCTTAAAGTTAGTATTTGCAAGGAACAGGCGATTATCTGAGCATAGCTGCAACAGACGGTCGCCATTATCTGTTCTTTGAGCCACTATACTATAAGATCCACCCAGGTGTCTTTCTCTATCGCTTAGTTTACCTACTTGAGCATTAAAGTCACCGGCCACTATTACTACATCCGAGCGCTTAGCTTTTCGGAGAAGGTCCGAAAGCTTTCTGTAAAACTCATCTTTTACATCATCTGAGCTGCAGTCAGTGGGAGAATAGGCAGAGACGACGAAGAGGCAACGACGAGTGTCCCTATCTTTCCGGATTCTTACTGTTCCGTTCAGTCGGACAGCGCACAAACGACTGTCTACTGGGATCCACTCTAAGAGAGCTAGTTCTGCCCTAGGACTCAATGCTATACCTACGCCTGCGAGGCCACGGGAAGCAGAATCAGGGCTTCCAGATACACGAAGCGTAAATCGAGTCGGTTCTTTATTTTGGCATGGTGAGGTCAAATGAATGATGCTACTTGGATCCTGTATGCGCGTTTCGGAGACGCAACACACATCAATGGCGCGACATTCTAAAGTCCTAGCTAAGGAAGCCTGCTGTCCTATTTGGCACAGTGTTCGGACGTTAAAAGCTCCTACGTGTAGTTTAGAGCGTGGTTTGAGGAGACCAGGAATAGAGTTCCACGTACTCGAATCGTTTGCCCTAGCGGTGCGAGGTGATAAAGAGACGTGAGGAGGGTTAGTCATGGAGATAAGAGAGGTATTAGAAGGTGTAGGAAGGATTTGAATGTGACCAACTTGGTCTCGCGTGCTGTTACGGGTATGAGGGCTGATGTCACTTCCCGGCTGCCCACACCGTGGAAGGGTATTTCTTGAGGAACCTGAAAAGGAAATTGGATTAGTGTTGGTCTTAACGACCTGGGAGCGTGACCGCAGAGCCCAAGGGACAACTGCTTGAGGCCGGTCGCGCACGGCCTTTTTGTAGAAGGTTTTTGACGTGTTAGCTCCGTTCTTCAGATGGCCTTACCGCCGGAGACGGAAATCCGTGAGGTAAGGTGAGGTGTGACATTTTTAGGGTCGACCTTTTCTAACCCCACCCCTCCTTGTGGGAAGGCAGCATCGCTGTCATGCTGATTGTCCGAAGGAAACACCTTACTGCTGTCACACCTCTGTACAGTCAGCAGTACGACTTCGCCCTCAGACTTTGAGTTGCTGCTTTTAGTCTTACCGTTCACCAATCGACCTGCCTGGCATGGTAGAACCTACAGGAACATATGTTCCAGCCAATATAGCTCGGATGGGTCATCACGATAGGCAAGCCCGACCACCACGTCAAGGTAGCAGCTTCGGTCGGGAGGTAGCAGCTTCGGTCGGGTCTTACTTACCTAAATATTTATGAAAGCTAAACGGTTTAATCTCATGATATTTCTCATGTGTACACTATTTTTTCCAGCAGTACTATACGTCTATTCTGAAATACTTACACTGGCAAGGTTGATGAACGAGTCAGTTTCTTCTTTTGATCTTTGACGATGTTCAAATAAGAAAACGCAAACAATGCTGCAAGTGTATAAACATTTTACGTCTTTTGTGAAGAAAAATGAGAAAGGCCTAACGGTAGAAAAATAAATTCAAACAATCTACGGTATATATTTAAGTCTTCGTTATTAATCACATGATATCCATGACAGTTAGGGGAAATACTGGCTGCCTAATTAATGACGCATAATTTAGGATTTTTATGTGATTTAGCGACCAATAAATGTTGACAAGACCAATTAAGCGGAAAAATATAAACCTTCTTCCTGCGGGGTTTTACAAAGCAAAATATTTTCGTTGCAGAATCAGACAATGCTATATTCGAAAATGATATGTATAAACATATAATATTCAGAACTCACCTTCATGAACGATTTTTAAATGCCTAGCCATACCGTGTTTAGTAGAAACAACTTTTCCACACAAGGCACAAGCCTGGTCATTGAACGCTAAAGTAAAATGGAATAAAAATTTACTAGGCAATAGCTACAATTCATCTTACATCCGCCTTAACAAAAGGTTGTATTTGTTGACCACCATAAGTTCCGATCTCCGTTGTGAATGGTACATCAAGTAGAAACATACCCAATTCATTCAGTATTACAGAAATAAGTGTAGATATATTTTTGAATGATTGATTAAATAAACGGAATATACATATTGGTTCCTTAGAGTCGATTGAATAAATAAAATGTATCATTACACTGATCACTTAATCTACTGGACTTCTAATAATTGGTGTGAAATTAAGAACTAAGTAAAAACACATAGATTAACAAAAACTCAACGGGGCGTGTTTTTTTAATAATTTGAATGGTTGCTTTTTCTATACAAAGTATCAAAAGAAAACCAAAAACAATCCGACCACATTGCTTTCTAACAAGATAAACCAAATACTCAGAATTATACTATTTAGAAGTATCACGAATCCGTATTAATCTGTGGCATATGGAACTTTTTTCACACAGCGCTTGTTTCAAATATCTGGTCTTATCAAAAATCGAAACATGTTGTTACTGGATGAAAAACAAATCCGGATTTCCAATTTTTGGTTAAGATGGAAAAATACTTTGTAAACAAGAGGAATGAGTCATATGTGAGAATTATATTTGAAAGAATTTCAGTGAATAAATTTTAAATTATTCTAACGTTTTCTTTAATAATGGCGTCTGAACTTCTTTAGGATAATTAACTATCCTGTGGATTAATAACCTCTTCTACACGCTCGGTACCCAACTTCTTCAAAACTTATTGCTTAAATATTGATGGATATTCATATAAACAGGTATAAGTGTTTACACTGCAACAAATAGTTGTAAAAACTTTGGAGCAACGAAATTAAGGTCTTTAGTGTTATTACTTTTGATGCTACTTGTAGTTTAGTCAATATTGAATTTTTCACCAGAATAGATGTATTTATCAATAATTCATTCTATACTGGTCCATGACTATGAAATGTAACTACTGAATACAGAAAAAGTATATATATAACATTTCCAAATTTATTTCACTGGATAATACTCCTTGAATAACATCCGCAAACCCTAATTTCTCCGATTACTGTATACAATTTTACTACCTCTACAACTACGGGATTCGAATCGACAATTGTAACTCTGTGTTACTGTGGTATGGCAACTTGAACTAATGTACGTATGTACGAAGTTATACGTTGTTGCTGACTGACTGATATATAACACACTAGATAAAATTATCTTTCAGGTATCACTCCGTGTTTAGTGAGTAGTGCTGAAATTAGAAATAAAACTCCACCACATAGGTCATTCGATGAAGCAGTGTATGTGTCACGCACATTATTCTGCTTCCGAAAATTCATGAGTGCCAATTGTCGAATATTTTCAAAACTTCAAACGTAAATGGAACCGAAATGTTAAAATTCACGAAACACTATCTTTTTATTTTATTTTATTTAATAAACAAAATTTCCGGTACAACTAGGGATCAAAAAGCTGTGCACTAACAAAATAAAGAAATGACAATGATAGATAAATAAGGGGAGGGGAACGGATCATAAACAAGTTTTGGCCTGCACAAAGCTGTAGGAGACGGCCATCGTTATTTGACCCCGGAAAAATGACCACCGTCTATGCCTGGGAGCCCGGCTTGCGAGCTTGAACTCTCGGGTAGCACTACATTATCTGTCGAACATACTTTCTTGAAAGCATTTAACTGATGTTAGACTTCATTGTTTATTGCGTACAAGCTACAATCCATTTAAATACAACTAGAGGCAACGTAAAGACACAGTTTCTTTTAATCTTAATGGAGCCATCTAACCTAACAGAACAGTCATTATGACTGGATCTTAAGCTGCTTTTACAACTAAAAATTTAGTCTCTGCTAAATAACGAATCATATAAAAGATGTCCTGGCAACTACATTTGTCTGACAAGCCAAAGTGGTGAGCAGTTACTAAACCAACTGGAGTGAGAACAATATATGAAGCAGATTTGCCCCAATCGTCTGTTACATGTAATTACATCTTCAGTAGTAATCAATTGGTGATATCTGTTGGCTATAGATGCTTAATTGTATGATATGGTAAGCACGTTCATACGATGAGTTATCAATTAACTGGTGTTGAATACCACAGTCTAATTAACACAAACCTGACTGTAAAACTAACTAAACAAATCGTATTAAAAAGGTGTGTTAATATATCAGCTTAATCTATTCCGGGGATCAAGCAGAATTTACTTTTACTTCGCGTTGTGGGAGTTATGGTGGTTCATGTTTCCAAGTATAAGCAGTAGGACTGCCAACAAAAACATTTGCGACGGAAAATATATTTTAATGCACATTTATTATGTGCTAGAGATACATTTAATTATAGATGCTAAACAATTTCCCTTTCAAGAAACTAGTAAACGTATCTGGTATTCATTTAATTCAATTTAGACGATAGCTCTGGGAATGAATAAGTTTGAGAATCAAAAATACATATGTGGAATAGCTAAACAGTGATTAACTAATAGCGTAAAATACAATAGCCATATATACATTTTTGACTTACAATTCATGAGGATTGAATAATATTGAACCTCAACGATATTTGACTGGTAACAGATCCAAATAGCTAAAACGGCAAGTTAAAAACAACTTGAGAATTAATTTGAAACCTTTTCATGCAGGATATATACTCAGTGACAGGGGAGGATAAACCACGATACTGTATAAAGATTTATATGCATCGGAAGACGTGGTACAGCTTAGGGAGGGAAGATTCTGTTTTCCCCCTAGATATGGTTTCATGTAGTCACCCAGTTATAGACACCGCCAGGGCGGTCTTACCCTCATCTCGCAGAGGGGTATTGTATACAGAAGGAAGTGAACTAAAGGCGAATGCCTGGCGCTTAAAACGGGTTATTGGATGCTGAAGATCCACATAGGTCAGCTGATAAGGTCGGATTTCAAACATTAGGTGCACGAAGAATATAGGATCCTGAGAGATTGGATAACGTATGAACCCGTCCTGTTCATCAGGTATCATGAAACATCTCGTGACGTTGCTCCAGTGCATTGTGGATTAGACTCTAGTCAAAGGCTAAGAAATTGGCCCCCCAAGATAATCACATTCCCCGGTTTGGGCGCTGAAGCACTATTCTAATCCAAACAAATATGATTATTATAGTGAAGAAAATGTGTTATTTGTACAAACGATGCATGAAAGTACCTAATTACAAACAACTTTATTTTACGCATCATTATCCATCGACTGTGTTTACACTTCTTTTAACTCACATCTCACCTATGTTTATTTTTATTTTATTTTGAACACATACATATTGGTACAGGAGTGCGCCGAATATATATGTGCCTCACCTATGTAGAAAGTAATCTCGTCTAAATGATTTTAAGTCTTGATTGGCTGGAATTCTGGAAACTACCAATAAATACCGATTTCGAGTCAATTATCCTTAAGACAACGAACTCTCAGTACCTGGGTTCTTGACCACCACTCCCACAACTAAGTGTAGATATTCAGATGGTATTACTGCTCTTTATAGACGCGTGGCTGAAACCCAGGTAAAAGACCACGAACTTGATTACTGCATTGAGAATTACATCGAGGTCAATATAGGACGTTTAACGTTAGGATTGCAAATTAATTGTTACATAAGCTAGCAGACACACAAAACCTAAGATTGACAGCGGGTAACCCAAAAAACCATATAATTTGCCTGCATACAAATTTTTGAACAGTGATACCAAGAAACGCATTATGTAACTGTATTTTAATGCACTGAATAACATTGACTAGAAAAATTAGGTTGGAAGTGTCACACGCTTCTTTACTATCATGGCCCTAATAATCTTTACACAAAAATTGGGGGTAACACCTGGAAACTGAACACAACAGAACGGATTGTAGGCAGGGTTGATTATGAATACAGTGGTCTTGAGTGCTGTTAGAGGTATGAGGGCGGTTATCACTTCCCGGTTGCCCACACCGTGGAAGAGTTCTTCTGAAGGTACCTGAAAAGGAAATCGGATTAGAAGTGGTCTTAGTGACCTGGGAGCGTGACCGCAGTTCCCAAGGGACAACTGCTTGAGGTCGGTCACACAAGACCTTTTTATGGGCAATTTTTGTGCTAGCTCCGTACTTGTTGAGACCTTACCTCCGAAGACGGATATTCGTGGGATAAGGCGAGGTGTGCATTTTCAGGGTTGACCTTTTCTAACTCCACCCCTCCTTGTGAGAAGGCAGTATCGCTGTCATGCTGGTTGTCTGAAGGAAACACCTTACTGCTGTCACACCTCTGTACAGTCAGCAGTACGACTTCGCCTTCGGACTTTGGGTTTGTTGCTTTTAGTCTTACCGCTCTTCAACCGACCTTTCTGACGTGGTAGGACCTTGAGGAACAGTTGTTCCAGTCAGTATAGCTGGGTTGCTTCCTCACGATAGGCAAGCCCGACCACCACGTCAAGGTAGGAACAACGGTCGAGCCTGTTCTGACTAGCCTGTTTAAAGTCTTTAAGATTTGGTTGTCTAATTTTTTTGACGGGATTTGTGTCCATCAGTTTGTACGTGCTCTTATCTTCGAGTAGTTCTTCGGCTTTGTTGACGTATTCTTTTTTGTCCATGACTATTGTAGTGCGTCCTTTGTCAGCTGTTATTATGACAATATCCTTTCTATTTCTGAGTTCCTTCAAAGCCTTTTGTTCTTATAGAGTCAGTTGATTGTTTTCCTTCACCTGTTGAGTTAGCGGTACAATAGTTTGTCTTATTTCCTGTTTTATTTCTTCACTCATTCCGGAGGTTTTGAGTAATGACTCTAGTACTGCGAAGAATTCTAGCTTTGAGGTGTCGCTTGTATTGTAGTTTAATCTTTTTTGGAGTAGGTGTTCTTCCGTATAGAAAGGATAGTCATAATAACAGCTAACAAAGGACGCACCACAGTAGTCATGGACAAAGAAGAATACGTCAACAAAGCCGAAGGACTACTCGAAGATAAGAGCACGTACAAACTGATGGACACAAATCCCGTCAAAAAAATTAGACAACCAAATCTCAAAGACTTTAAACAGGCTAGTCAGAGCAGGAGAAATAACAAAACAAGATCAATGGAGAATGAAATACAGTGGACCAGTACTCCCTCGATTCTACGGCAGACGCAAAATACACAAACCAAACATTCCACTACGTCCAACTGTAGCACTCCCCGGAACGCCAACGTACAATTTGTCAAAAGAAATTTTACGAATACTGAGACATCTAGTAGATTCAGCCAACCACTCTATCAAATCCCCAACACAATTCCTGGACCAAATTAAGGATGTTCAAATGAACAACGACGAACTCATGATACCCTTCGACGTAACAGCACTATTCACTTCGATTGAATCAAAATTCGCAAAAGAAACTATACCCCTGCTGCTCAGCAACGACGCAAATCTCACTAAGTACACGAAGCTTCAAATTCAAAGTCTACTGAAACCCATTGATTTATGCCTAACAACATATTTTCAATTCAACAACAAAATCTACGAACAAACAAAAGGGACACCAATGGGATCACCAATATCAGGACTGATCGCAGAGGCAGTGATACAAAGACTAGAAACCGCGATACTACCAGTGATCAAGCCAAAAATTTGGATTTGCTATGTAGACGACACTTTCGTCATCGTCAAAAAGAATGAGCTGGGAAACACAAACCGATCAACAACGTTTTCGGTGACATCAAGTTCACGATGGAACAGGAGTCGAACAATAAACTATCATTCTTGGATATATTGATCACTAGAACCGACACAGAAAAACTGGAAACTCGAGTATATAGGAAACCGACACATACAGATCAAATCATCAACTAAAATAGCAACAATCCAAGAGCTCACAAAATAAACTGCGTACACACTTTGGTCAAGAGGGCAAGGACACACTGCAGCATACTGGCAGCACGGAAAAATGAAGAGAAATACCTGAAGGACGTATTTCAGAAGAACGGCTACCCAATCAACTTCATCAAAAAATACCAACCGCACGCAGCATCCGAACCCAAGTCAAGCAGAGAAATCAACAAAAGGATCACCCTACCATACATACAAGGAATATCAGAAACCGCAACCAAACTGCTGAAAACCTTCGGGATAGATGTGGCACACAAACCGAGAAAATCACTACAATCAATCCTATGCAAACCAAAGGATGAAATGACAAAGGAAAACAAATCAAACATCATCTATAAAATAAATTGTGCCAACTGCGAAAAACACTACATCGGACAAAGCAGACGCCCCCGTCATCTTCGCCTACACGAACATCAATTAGAAGTCAAACGCCATGATGTCTCCTCACTTATATCAATACACGTGGACAACTGCGGACACTCTTTTGATTGGAAAAATGTGGAAATCTTAGACAGAGGAAACTCCAAAAAACACCAGAGAATTTTTAGAAGCCTGGCACTCAGGTCAATCAGCAATCAACAAGCATATTGAAATCAATCTGATTTACCAACCAATCAGGTAAATCATGCACAAATAAAGGAACAAAAATCAAACCAATGGGAGACAACTAAAACAAAGAAGTAAACAATGACAAATTTAAGGTCAATAAGAACCAATCAACATCAAGGTGCACAGAACAAATTGTGAAACACATGGAGAAATTCGGACACTTCACTTCCATCTGAAGTTTGTGCTGATGATGTCGTTCAAAAGAAGATGAAAGCTCCACGACCACACCATCTATTTCAGAGAACAAAACTTCACCAAATTTATCCACCTGAGCTACAAATCTCCACTGTTCTTGTAGGTTCTACCATGCCAGTCAGGTCGATTGGAGAACGGTAAGACGAAAAGCAGCAACTCAAGGTCTGAGGGCGAAGTCGTACTGCTGACTGTAGAGGGGTGTGATAGCAGTAAGGTGTTTCTCTCGGACAGCCAGCATCTGCAGCGATACTGCCTTCTCACAAGGAAGGAAGGGGTTAGAAAAGGTCGACCCTAAAAATGTCACACCTCACGGATTTCCGTCTCTGGTGATAAGGCCCTTTGAAGAACAGAGCTAACACGTCAAAAACCTCCCACAAAGTGACCGTGTGCGATCGGCCTCAAGCAGTTGTCCCTTGGGCTCTGCGGTCACGCTCCAAGGTCGTTAAGACCAACATTATACTGACTTACTTTTCAGATTCCTCAAGAAATACCCTTCCACGTTGTGGGCAACCGGGAAGTGACATCAGCCCTCATACCCGTAACAGCACACGAGACCAAGTTGGCCACATTCAAATCCTTCTTACACCTCCTAATAACTCTCTTATCTCCACAATTAACCCTTCTCACGTCCCTTTATCACCTCGCACCGCTAGGGCAAACGATTCGAGTACGCGGAAGGTTATTCCTGATCTCCTGAAACCACGCTCTAAACTACACGTAGGAGCTTTCAACGTCCGAACACTGTGCCAAATAGGACAACAGGCTTCCTTAGCTAGGACCTCAGAATCTCGCGCCATCAATGTGTGCTGCGTCTCCGAAACGCGCATACAGGATCCGAGTAGTGTCGTTCATTCGACATCATGTCAAAGTGACGAACCAACTCGATTTACGCTTCGTGTATCTGGAAGCCCTGATGCCGCTTCCCGTGGCCTCACTGGCGTAGGTATAGCATTGAGTCCTAGGACGGAACTAGCTCCCTTAGATTGGATCCCAGTAGACAGTCGTTTGTGCGCTGTCCAACTAAACGGAACAGTAAGGACTCGGAAATATAGGGACACTCGTCGTTGCCTCTTCTTCGTCTCTGCCTACTCTCCCACTGACTGCAGCTCAGACGATGTAAAAGATGAGTTTTGCAGAAAGCTTCCCGACCTTCTCCGAAAAGCTAGGCACTCTGATGTAGTAATAGTGGCTGGTGACTTTAATGCTCAAGTAGGTAAATTAAGCGAAAGGGAAAGACACCTGGATGGATCTTACGGTGTTGTGGCTCAAAGAACAAATAATGGTGACCGTTTGTTGCAGATTTGCTCAGATAACCGCCTGTTCCTTGCAAATACTAACTTTAAGCATAAGGAAAAACATGTTTTGACATGGCCACCCCCGAATTCGTCCCAACGTTGAACCCAAATAGGTCACATCGCTATCAGCCACCGATGGAAGGGCTCGATAGAAGACTGTCGCTCATTCTGGAGCACATACTTAGACTCAGATCATGCTCTAGTGCGAGCGCGTATTTTTCTACGTCTTACTGGACGTAGGAAAGATGATGCAAGGAAACCTCTTAGGGTCTTACTTAATAATAGTCAAGCTAAGAGTATATTTCAGGAACAACTAGAAAAACAGTTAGGCAGACATGTAAGTGATGCCCAACCCGAGGCAGCGTGGAATGACATCTGAAAAACTGTGGAAACAACAGTGATATCTGCAAGTACGGCAAACCACAGGGTTAGGGAGCAACACTGGATCTCAGCAGCATCTACCGCATTGATAAATGCTCAAAACTCATTCCATCTGGCTCTGAACATAACGAAGAGTGGAGTCAGCTTAGGCGCAAGCTGACAAGAAGCCTACGCAATGATCTCGAACAGTGGTTGGTAGCGAGAGCAAGAGAGATGGGAAAGGCAGCGGCAATAGGTAACAGCAGACAACTGTTCAGACTTGTTAAGGAAACCTGTATCAGGAACCCGACTGTTAGCGAAACTATCTCAGAAAAAGATGGACGTACTATACATTCTCAATCTAGGAGATTGGATTGATGGACAGAACACTTTAGGGATCAGTTCAACTGGCCTTCAGCCACACTTCGGTTTCCTACGATCTCCAGTCTCTCTGAATGGCAAGTTAATGTAGGCTCTCCGACTCTACGAAGTTGAAAAAGCTATATGAAATCTGAACGGAGGGAGAGCAGCAGACCCTGACAGTTTTACTCCTGATATTTTTAAGGATGCTGGCCCAGTATTAGCAGTGAGATTAACTGAGGTCTTAGGTAGAATTTGGGAACTGGACATAATCCCATCTGACTGGTCTCAATCACTGATTGTGCCAGTCTATAAAAAAGGACAAAAAACTCCTGTGACAATCACTGAGAAATCAGTTTGAATAATATAGTGTCTAAAATATTAGCTTTAATAATTCTTCAACGCCTAGCCAAAGCTCGTGAAGAACAGACTAGAGAAAATCAGGCTGGTTTTCGACCTGGACGTGATTATATAGACCAGATATTCACACTACGTCAGGTTCTAGAACACAGACACATATTCAGACGCCCCACAATTGTATTATTTCTCGACCGTAAGGCGGCATTTGACTCTTTCAATCGCGAGGTTCTGTAGCAGTGTTTGTCACTGAAAGGAGTATCAAAGAACCACATTAACCTTGTAAAGGCTCTCTTCTCGAACACAACTAGTTGAGTGAGAGCTTATGGCGAACTGTCATCAGAATTGATTACCTTAAGTGATGTTCGTCAGGGCTGTCCACTCTCTCTATTCTTGTTTAACTTTGTCGTTGATGTGCTTTTAGAGATAACACTTTCCTTATCTGACTCTCCAGGGGTTGAACTTCTACCGGGAGATTCGCCTGTTGACCTAGAATATGCCGATGACATATTTGATGAAGACGCTGACAAAATACAGTCTTCCGACCACTCTAAGCAACGATGCAAGCATGCTCGGGATGCGATTCTCCCCCTCGAAATGCAGAATGTTGCTTCAGAATTGGGTTGCATCGACACCCGAACTAATGATAGGGAGTGAAGTAGTTGAGCGTGTCGACCGCTTCAGTTGACGAAGTAGTGAAACTTCATCAGATAAGGTGGCTGGGATACGTGATACATATGCCTAACGACCGACTGCCTCGACGTGTGATCTTTTACGGTGTAGTACCAGTTCATTCAACTCCATCAACTTCGGGCAAAGATGTTTTACGGTTCCCGACAATCCCACGGGAAACAAGCTTCTCGAAACAACAGATGGATAGATTTGTAGTACTCCATTAATGTCTAGAATACGGGCCTCGTATAGACGACATGAATGAATGTTGACTTCCCAAAGACAGTCAGACTTATCTGTTTTCCTGTCTGCATTTATGTGCGGACGTTATGGGAAGCCACGAATGGTGTACAAGTAGGTTGGAAGGAAGCTAGGAGTGGCCAGACCAAAATATGGCACAAATCCATGACGTCACTGACAAGTGGACTGAGCCATGTTGGTAGGTGTAGACTATCTGGTCGGAGTAGCTTTTGCCAACTTGAGTCATTTATGGCATTGGTGAGATATCCGTCTATCAACCAAAGGACGTGTTTACTGCGCAGCATTTCGTTTCGTCCTACTTTATGGAAGTGAAACGTGGCAGGTAAGAGTAGAGGATATTCGTAGGTTACTAGTATTTAATCATAAGTGTCTTCGAAACATTGCTCGTATATCCTGGGACCATCAAGTAAGTAATGCAGTTGTTAGGAAACGGGTACTATGTAAGGATAGCAAATCAATTGATGAAGTAGTGAAACTTTATCAGTTGAGATGGCTGGGACACGTGATACGTATGCCTGACCACCGACTGCCTCGACGTGCGATGTTTTACGTGTAGGAGTAGGTTGGAAGAAGGCTAGGGGCGGTCAGACCAAAACATGGTACAAATTCATGAAGTCACTGACATGTGGACTGAGCCATGTTGGTAGGTGTAGACTACCTGGCTGGGATCCGCGGGATGATAACAACCAACGGTTAGGGCCTTGAATGACATAGCTCAAAATCGTTTGCAATGGCGCTGGTGCATCTAACAAATTTTAATCCTCTGAATTCTACTTGTCTTTTTTTTCTCTTTACAGATTTATTCCAATGGAACATGCTCCCTGGATAAATCTTCAAACGGCGAGACTATAATTTATGGACAAGCCAATCAGAAGCGTTCGAGAAATTTCAAGGTCACGGAGCCATGTTCAATAAGTGATGCTCACATACGATCGTTTTACAGATTTTAGAGAATTGATGATTGTTGAGCGACTACAACAGATGGGACTATTAAGAATTTCCTGTGTCTGTGAGTGCGGCAATCAAATGAATGCAGTACTTTGTGCAGACTACTGTGACGAGAGTGTGTTTAGATATTCTATATTTTGGAAGAAAAAATCTGCTCGAACTGGCACTTTCTTCGCTCAATCACGACTCAAACTAAGGCAAATCATGATAACTGTTGCAAAGTGGATTATAAAGTCACGAGTAACATTGGCTGCGGCGTTTGCAGATGTTACAGAAACTTCAGCCGTTCAGTGGTACGAGTACTGTCGTGATATATGTGCAATCAAAATGACACGCCTACAGGAATCATTTGGAGCAGTCGGAAGGATAGTGGAAATAGATGAAACACTAGTGAGGAAGCGAAAATACAACAAGGGACGTTTTATCAAGGAAGATAGGGTAAATAGCACTTCCGTAAATATATACTTGACAGGTACTTGGATTTTATGATCGGTCAACCCAAAAGAGGCATTTCCAAAAAGTGAGAAACCGTCAGGAAACCACAATAACATAAAGGAGTACATGCAGCCTGGCAGTACGATATATATCGATGATTGGAAATCTTATAGATGCCTCCATAGACTTGGGTTTGTGCACCCTAACCCTATGCACTATGTTCTCAGGACATCTGAACCTTTCTCTAACCTTAGGAAGTTTTTAAATCATGAAAAAGAAGAATATGTGCTGTAATTCATTAGTTTTTTATAATATATTTTCACTTTATACTAACTCTTCTGATTAGCTTATAGTTTCAAGGTCACTAAAAATTCGTTCAAAGGTCGTCTACAAGATATAGTTTCGCCCTTCAAAACCTAATCTTTCCGACTACTGCTTTCACTCTTACCACGTTTTACGCTATGGGATTTGAATCGATAACTGCACATCTGTGCTAATGTGGTGTGTCACCTCGAAATGATATACGTACGTACGAAGTTCCACGTTGTTACAGACTGACTGACCTGACACCTGGACCGTAAGACTTCAATTGTAACCGGATGGTTATGAAAGAGAAGCTAATTGGACAAGCTGATAGCTGGACTACGACATTTGTGAACCAGGTACCTAGCTAGGTTTTCTTAGGCGATAAGAATTCTATTCAAATAAGGGACCGATCAACGTTACATAGGCAAGAATTAGTCATTGGATAAGCGGTGACCTTAGAATCGTATATACGGAAACAGTGAGAGTATTAACAAGTCCCTTTGTCATTTTCGATGACTGAACTTGCTTTTTGCTGACGTCTTACTTTAATATCAAGTAAAGGTTCCTTAAGTCATAGTTTATTCAGGATATCAAATTGAAATTACGATTAATCAAAACTCACCCACTTAAAAGTGAAATTGAGATCCTCCTAATAAGTTACGCAGCTAAGCTGCTTGTTCACTCGCAATATGGGCTTTTGGTGAGACCTAGTATTCATTCGAGCTGTAAACAACTCATGTTAATCTACGTGAAACCACAGCGATTAAAAGTATTTCAAACATTTTTGCACAAAAAACAGTAGTGTCCACTCATAAAACAGCATTAGCCCACATTATAAACACAATTTAATAACGGTAAACTACCTAGAAATGCACCAACCGCATGACGCGCGTTCCTTCAATATTCAACACAATCAAAAAGAATGAGGACAAAGGATTCCAAAATTTGTATTTACTCTCAATAGAACAACCTTCGTGAAAGATTGAAATTTAATGCAGTATACTGAAAGAAGGAGCTGCTATAGAACGACAAGTTAGTGACTCATTGTAACGTGATAGAAAATATTTTAAAAGTATTTGAAAACTGTTAAATTAATTGTGCTATGTGGCCTTTCGTCCATCCTTTGAGCCACTACATTTGTCCTTAAATGCGTTTGACCTACAGTCTTATGACACTTGCCCCGTTGTCTGTGCACAAAAACCTTCATAATTTACAGTTACTAGTCCACTCAAATCAGAAATCGAAAAAACGGGTGAGCTTGAGGCCAAATTTGGAAGGGGATTATGTGTTGAAATGGTTTTGATAGAAACTGACTAGTTGTTCATATTTATGCGCAACACAATGTAACAAATCCTGGTCTTTTGAGGACGCATGTCCGGCGCCTTCAGATAGGATGTGTCCAGTGAAATCTAATGATGTTAACATTAGTGTTTAAAATTTACGGAACTATTTCTCTTAAGGATTTATTTATGATTCCAGACAAATCTCAATGAGATAGATTTTATTTAGTTTACTACTTTGTACTTCCTTATGGTTCTTACTTTGCTTATCTTCGATTTTTTTATTATTAATGACTTTATATAATAATATATTTTGGTACAATATAGAATTTTCATCACAGGGTATTTCAACAAGTTAATTACGCAAAAAATCAAAAACAAAGACAAAAAAAGGAAAAAAGTCTAAAAAAACCCCGAAGAAAAAATGTGTTAAGAATACAGGTTTTTGACTAGGTTAACAACCTGTTCGTCAAACAATATAATTGCTAAATAAAGTATTATAGAACTTACATACTTTTGCTTGCGTGCGTGGATTTTAATGTCATTATGTCTCGTTTTACCAGAGCATATACAAGAAGAAAGATAAGAGTGATGGGGATGGTTAACATCTGCCGGGAGTTTGCATGACTTTAGATGTTTATCCACAACCATATTAATTATGACCTTGAAGGATTCACCACACACCTTGCTAACTGCCTTCAGCACTCTCTGCAATACAGAAAAGTCTTTTCTCAGAAGCCCGGGGAAGAATAATGGAGAACAGTAAAGAATAATAGGTAATGTGCAAGAATTGACAGATTGTAAGAGTAAATGACGGGTAATCCCAAGAGCATGCGATTTCTTTATGTAGTAAGTCAGACGCAAAACCTACTTCGATAACAATAAAACGTGAGAAGATCAAGACAGATCAGAGGAAAAGGTAACACCAAGATAATTAACCTTTGACACTGTGTTTATCAAAGAGTCTCCAATGGCACAAGCATTATGGGGTCTCATAACGGTGCTTAGATGCTGTTAATTTCTCATGCTAAAGTTAACAGCTTGACATTTGGACGGTTTAAGTATGAGACCATTACCGGCAGACCAACAATCGAAAGTGTTTTCTGTGTTAGATGGCAGATCATGCAGAAAAAAAGAAGGAAAAAAGAGGTGAAAGAACGGTTCTCTGTAGTACACCTTCATGAGACAGTAGAGACTCTGAAAACTTTCTTTCAAACACAGTGTTCTGTTCACTTCCAGAGAGGTAGGAACATAGCCAGTTGGTTATCCAGCTGTCAGTGTTGACGCCGATTAACTTGTTAATTAAACGTTTTCTTGGTATAGAATTAAAAGCTGAAGTACATTCCAGAAAAAACTCCGCCTGTAGCTCTTATAGGGTTACTGCCGGTCCCAAGCCCGGGTAAAGGAGGAGGGTTGGGCATGGGGTTAGCGTCCCCATCCCGTAGAAAACTAACTCGCTAAAAAAACGCTTACCAGAAAAAATAATCCAAACCATTTAAACTCTGCCCTGGGAGTTAGAAGGTCTTCATTTAGAAGAATTATGACGCTTCATGGTGAAAGCCGAGTTCCTTCGGAAGCCACGAGGCCGATGCCCCTTCTAACAACCAGAGCAAAAATTTTTATAGGTACATGGAACGTTCGAACAATGTGGGAAACCGGGAAGACCAGTCAAATAGCATTGGAAATGAGGAGATACTGTAGTGGCATTGGACCATAACCACACAATCCTCAAAGCTGAATACGAGATTACTCAGAAAATAGATATTCAATATTTAACGCAAAGAAATACCTAAAGATGGAGAAGGCGCGACTAATGAATTGAATAGACTAGAGTTGATCGAACGGCATGGTTCGGCCATGCAGGCGTGGTCTCTGCTGAATGTTACCTTATATCTTCTATTCATATTAAATATATTGTTCTTTCTCTAGCCTAACCTTGTTCTACATCACGTATTGGTAATTGATACGATACAGTGAGTTGGTGCAGTCGATGGTGTGACTTCCACGTAAGATCTTATAGATTAGACAGTCATATCATGATAAATCTACAGATTTAGGATTAGGTCTATTATTAGAGCAGTACTAATATCATAGTAGATTATAATTCTACATTGGTAAGCCCAACTAAAGAAACGCAACCTATTATTGTTAATCCTTATTTCCACTTTAACTTTCTCGATCGATTTTATATTCATGTTAACCCAGTATTCTAATAGTCCCCTGAATAATACTCACATGCATTATCGTAATGTTATATTGATTAGTTCTCATAACATACTAGCTCAAACGATAATAAAAACTGGTCGTCAATATCAACTAATTAGCTTTGATGGTTCGTTAACAAGCTTTTATAGCATTTACCTGCTTCAGTGACATAGATTTGTCTAAACATCAAGCTCTAGCAAATATGATCTGTAAGTAGCGTAAATATACATTGACTAACAATGCAATTAAGGATTGAATAGTTATCTGGATCTAATTCTTAGTGTTCCTTCGCTTAACACATCCTGTTTTAAACTATGCACTATCCTGTAAAATCTTTTCTTCCGACCACTGCCTGCCTAATTTCACATTCTCGAGTTCCATTGCCAAACAACAAGGATGACACTTTTCCTAAAACATACGGTGAGTTTCAGCCATAAGTTCCCTGCAATCATAAGGTCATTTTAGATGGCTCGTTCAATGGCTGACACAGTTATCTGGATTCATTCGATTGTTTTGATCCGAGCGCGTGGCAAAAACATCATCAGCATCAAGCACCCTGGAATTAATTGCCATACTGCATGTTTTATTGTGGATACTTTTGGATCATTACTCCTCACGAATGGCGTTATATATGTCGTCCACTGAATAATCTAATTTTCAAAAATTATCCAGGCGAGTTCAACTATTTCACTTAATGATTTTTTGTACCTAACATGTATATGTTTCCTAGCTGCTTTTGCCATATATTTGTAAGTGTCCCTAGGCTAAATGCAGTAACTTCTTATGGAATGTTTATAACGCGTCATATTCCTGCCTAAAGTTTCACAAGCAGTCTTAACTTTAAAATTGTTTTTCTGGTCATGTTCATTATTTTTAAATTTTCATATACGTCAACAACCTGCATGTTAACCTGGCCCGTATGTACGTTTTACTATATCTTCATGTCTTTTGAATTCAGAAATCATCTGAATCGCCTTTAACATTTATCAATAAACCCATCATAGTCATTGTTGCTAATCGTATTTGGGTTTATGGATTGGTTTATCATATTAGCAGCCTAAAATGCGAACATAGTTTAGATAAGATTAAAAATCTAGGTACTATCAACTGCACTAGTAAAATAACCAAATCCCTAGGTAGCTGTTAGCTAAACAAACGTTTACAATCAAAACTCCGTAGCCTACTAGAATTAACACTAAACGAATATTTCTAAATTGAAATTTATAATTAAATTAGGCGTCTCGGATTCTTGAACATTATAAATTTCTGATAATTTTGAATCACCTAAAGCAACAATGCCTATTTTTCCACTGGCCAGTCTTCAATCAACACTATAACTAGTTAAACATAATAGTTTCAGGATATCGTCATAAAGCATTGTCATGACTTGACAATCACGTAATATGATTGATAAAATTAATGAAACTATTGACAAAATCGGTCACCAAATTGACATATAATTATCACTAGTGTTGTTTTTCTTTTATCTTCATTCACTACAGATAATTACAGTATGTTTCTCTATCAGATGCTCACTCAGTAAATATCTCGAAACCTTGTCAGTCTAATTGGAGGTTTAGCGACACAATAATGCATGCAAATAATCAGTATAAGCAGTCGAGCAAATCTCCTGCAAACTGAAAATATCAATGTCGAATTTACCCCAACACTGACTAAGGTTCAAGCCATTATCATAGACGTCAGTTGGGAGTGTACTCCCCTTGGTTACAACTTATGTTCTTCCTGATAATCACATAAGCATCTCTCACTGTTAATCATCTTGTAAAAGCTTATTTAGCCGAATACATCCTGCAGCACCACATCACCTAGTAATATGACACATAGGCCTAACTGATTTCGATAACTTATAACCACTATATCTCAATTAAACCGTGTTCCGCCTTATGATAAACTGCATATTTGCAACTAACTTGTATGCATCATCAGCCGTCAGGTATAAATATGTATAAATAGTCTATGGCAACTCAGAACATTGAGTCTAGAGCATGTCTCTTACGAATACACTCATGTTTAACGATTTGTTCCTAGCTATCTGTCCAAAATTCATATATTTATCACTCACGTATTTAAATTTTGTTTTGATAACCATTCATGTGTATTAGTAGTATATTAAATTCTATCACGGTCAAGTAAAAATGAGGCTGAGAAAATCTCCCCATAACTAAATAAACCGTATCAAACTTACTGGAACACTAGTTGGAATTCTTCTCCATGGTAATACTTTTGTTCCTTCAGTTAGCCTACTAATACAGATGCAATTGGAAATCGATTCATATGGACAACTTACCGGCATAATCGTTATTTGATTTCATAGGTTAAACTAAAAGTAGTACCAATATTAACATCTCTACAATATTCATTACTTTAATATTTCTAAACACAAAATACTTACTACCTATACGTTAAGTTATTAACCAACAGCTATTAACACGCATCGTTTTATTATTATTATTATTGTATTCTCATTTTTTTATATCTCAAATATTCTTCACCCAAATTTTCATTTTAAGCGTGTGAAGTATGAGTGCAGATATTTTAAAATCATTACATGTATTTTCCGACCAGATGCTGCCGCCTTTCCTTTTTCATTTATCTTTCAGCTTGTCATCACCCGGAGGATTATTACTAGTCTTGGTAACCTTCGGGACACTACAGTCCCATCCAATTTGGTATCGAACCAACACCACGTTGATTCTGGTGGGAGAGTAGTGTAGTGGCATTGGACCATAACCACACAATCCTCAAAGCTGAATACGAGATTACTCAGAAAATAGATATTCAATATTTAACGCAAAGAAATACCTAAAGATGGAGAAGGCGCGACTAATGAATTGAATAGACTAGAGTTGATCGAACGGCATGGTTCGGCCATGCAGGCGTGGTCTCTGCTGAATGTTACCTTATATCTTCTATTCATATTAAATATATTGTTCTTTCTCTAGCCTAACCTTGTTCTACATCACGTATTGGTAATTGATACGATACAGTGAGTTGGTGCAGTCGATGGTGTGACTTCCACGTAAGATCTTATAGATTAGACAGTCATATCATGATAAATCTACAGATTTAGGATTAGGTCTATTATTAGAGCAGTACTAATATCATAGTAGATTATAATTCTACATTGGTAAGCCCAACTAAAGAAACGCAACCTATTATTGTTAATCCTTATTTCCACTTTAACTTTCTCGATCGATTTTATATTCATGTTAACCCAGTATTCTAATAGTCCCCTGAATAATACTCACATGCATTATCGTAATGTTATATTGATTAGTTCTCATAACATACTAGCTCAAACGATAATAAAAACTGGTCG